GGTATCGGTCCCTGAGCGTGTTTGCCAGCTGTGTTGTCGTTCCTGTAAAGTTGTGCATGACCTTATGTAAGTGACGTTGAGTTTCCGTGCGTGTTTGTGTTGAATCGATGAGAGCGCGAAACAGGCGCCACGTGTTGCGACCAGACATCTGGCGTGCAGCCGTGTTGCACCTGTCCACCCAGTTAGTGTCGGCTAGCTGAGCAGCATATTCCGCAGCTTGCTCCGTGAGTTCTAGGATGCGTTTCTTGAGGCGTCTGTTATGTTTCTGTTTTTTCCATCATTTGGTGAGGCTGCGGCGGGCCTGCCAAAGATGGAGGAGGTGGTTGTCTACGTCCGTTTGAGTTTCCGTGAGCTGTATCAGCTGTTCGTGTTGTTTCAGTGTAGACGTCAGTGATTTAGACCAGGTGTCGTATCCCGACTGGAGAGGGTCTACAATAGGTAGAGTGGTGCGGAAAGTTGTCCAGTCTGGGATACGAGCTTGTGTAAGTGGGCGTTTTAAGGGACGCATGTACACAGTTGTGTTTAATACACAATGATCACTACCGAGAGTGTCCTGTGTGTTCAGCCAGTCGGCATGGCGTATGTTGCGTGTAATTGTGAGGTCCGGGCAAGTATCTCGTTGAACAGAGTTGCCTACACGTGTTGGGCTGGCGGGATCAGTGTGGAGGGTGAGTCCAAGTGTAGAAAGAAGTTCCGCAAGCTTCCTTCCACGCGTGTCCTCTCGTGGGTAACCCCATAACCTGCTTGGGGCATTGAAGTCGCCGACGATCAGGAGGGGGTCTCGTCCTGCCACCTGCATAGCTTGTGTGAAAGTTTCGCTGAACGTGACGTTCTTAAGCTTTGGGGGACAGTAAATGTTTAAAATATGAACAGGTGGGTCAGATCGCCTTATAGGCAGCACCGACACCATTGTGTATGGGAAAGGCGGTCTTGTGGGGAGTGTGACTTCCTGGGCGGTATATTGCTTGTGAACAAGTATACATGTCTCCGGGTTGTGTTGAAATGTAGTGTAATTTGTGAGTTTGACGTCCGAGCCGGGTTCCTGAAGGGCAACCACGGCAACAAGGAACTCAAAGGTCTCAAGATAGAGGCAGAAATGAGCCCGCTTCTTGTGGTTCTTGAGACCTCTGCAGTTCCACTGTGTTAGTAACAACGGCTGAGTTGCTCTGGCTCGCGACCTAGGGTTGGAGGCCATGTTCGGAGATAGAGGGTGGGGTTGTGTTGTTAAGATGACTCAGTTCACCAGCACCCTGTGCTGACGTACTGGAGTCTTCAGAAAAGTCCGACTCATCTGGAGTCACTCTGTTAAATTTTGAGGGGCGATTAACGTCCCTAATTGGCCCTACGCGCTTGAGGACGCGTGGATTGTCTTGTATCCACTTTTGGATAATGTGAGTTACTGTTTGTGTCACCTGTGCGATGACAGTCTCCATATGACGCGCGATGGTGTCGTGGATAATTTTGGGGAGGTCGGCCAATTGTGTTTCTATGGCATTCACCTGGGTCTCCAGGGCCGCGACGCGACTCTCTACAGTAGTAGGAATCTCCCTGTCTGTTATATTTTCCTCTTCGTCGCTCAACGAGGGTTTAGTAGTGAGATTGGTTTTGAGCGAGTCAAGTTCGCTGGCTAGTTTTTCATTCTGAGATCGCAAAAGGGCGAGCTCATGCCTGAGTTTTTGTGTTTCGGTAGTGCTTGTGGCAGAAGGAGGTGGAGAGGAGAGAGAGAGGAGGTGACCTCCACCCAACTGCCCACCTTGGGTTGGTTGCGTGCAGCGTTGCCAGATGGAGCGCCGAGAGCTGGAGATTCCGCCGCGCCAGGTGGTAGCGTTGCCGTTGCTGCTTTGCCAGGAATTGGCACTTTGCCAGTTGACCGGTGCTTTGGTTTTGTTGGGGTCCCCGATGTCCTGGACCCTGGTTGCTGAAGCCTGATGAATTTTTCAGTGCATTCGCGGGAGCTGGTGAGCTGCGGACCCCCGCAAACTATGCACGTTGGGTTGCATTCGTGGGGGGCCATCCCCTCAGGACCAGCGCCCACGTTTTGGCCACAAAGGCTGCATCTTTCGGTGACCGGGTTGGGACAGATATCCGCCCGGTGCCCCAGTGCACCACAGCGGTAGCACGCTGGCACTGTCTTCTTGTACTCCCTGACGGGAGTCAGTTCTGCGTTATAGTGGACGAAACGCGGAACCTTCCTTCCCGCGAAAGTCAACACAGCTACGTTGGAGTTCCCCAGCTTGCGCGCATAGACTAGTTTACCGCCACGCCACTGCACACTATGTTTCAGAGACGCACTGGTTTCGAGGTTGTGCACAGAAATCACGCCGCGACACACATCACCGGTGAGCTTGAGGTGACCGCGAAGCGGCAGCGGTCCTTTGCTGGTGTTGATTTGAAAGTCCGACAGCAGTTTCTGAGCCACCTCGTTATTCTGCGTGCCACAGATGATGATGTTTTGCTCCCAATTGGGAGAAATGCTGATGTCATTCATGTGCTGCCTTCCGATGAGTTGGGAAATGGCAGCGCCGAGCTCACCTTGTTGAAACGCTGCCTTGAGGGCTACTGTGATGCGTGGCTTGAGCACGATCACGTAGTCGCCAGGATTCATCCTGACCGTTGGTTTCGGCGTCCACTTGGAGACTGGTGAAGTCTTTTGTGGAGCTTTAGGAGATGGAGCACGAGCGTCTCCAGTGGCTGAATTGTTGAGAGGAGTTTTCAGTGCAGACGCTCCTTCCGCGTTTCTTCGGCGGCGACGCCGACCCTCGACGAGTTGAAAAATGTCGGCTTGCTCCGCCGAAATGGTGGATGGGCCGTCGTCTGATGGATTTGTCGGGATATACGACCACGACAGAGTCGTAGGGTCGTAGCCACGTAGTTCAGGCAGCGCCATGTTGAGGAGTTGACCGAGCGGCGTCTCCGCATCCAGCAGCGGCGGAGCCGCCGCCGTGAGGCTTAGCTCGTTCGCTACGTTGTGATGCAAAGTTGCTCGAAGTGGCCGAAAATTGGGCGTACCTGGGTGAGATCGGTGTCCCCAGAATCTTGCTGACTTGGCAGATGCAGTCACACAAGTTTTAGAGCAGCCACATTGAAGAGAGCACGGTTCCAGCCGAAAATCGACGGAGCCGATGAGCGTCGCGTCCGATCACTTCGCGAAGCGCCCGCGTCTCCCCGTGTGGAGGGGAAAAAAAAAAAAAAAAAAGTTCAGTGTACTAAATGAAACCTCAGTACACTAACTCTTCCTTCACTTCACTTGTGAGCACGACAGCTTGTGCGTAATTTGCCAAAAGAAATGAGGCATTTTAACACATTTTTCACTTGGCTCTAGGATGTCGAGTAGTGCAATCACTTGTAAGCTTGGGGAGGGTATAAACTCTTACCCCCAAAATCATCCAGCGCTGGAGGTCGTATGCTGGCAATGAAAAATAGGCAGGTTTTTTCAAATGATTTCTTCTTTTCTGAAAAACATTGCACACAGCCCAGTTCTACTAATATCAGTGCTATTTCATTTATGAAAATACTGTCCACATCTTCTGATAACCGATCGCACCGTCTTGAAGGGCATGTGGGCACTCTTCAAGAAATCATCTGTAGATCTGCATGCAGTTATGATAACCCCAGTCTCTGCCCTTGCCATGATGCCGCTTTCAGCTTGAATGAGTGCTAATGCTTTGTTGTTAAGAAGTAAGCATGTTTTCAGAGTTGCCAAATTTAACATTGTGTGTTATGACTCCACAGTAAGTTCTTGCCGCCACCGAGGTTGCTTGTTTTGCGTGAAACGGGTCAGAACATTGTGTGTTCATAATATTGCTGATCAGTTCATCTGGTGGCACAGAAAGCCATCAGGTAAACTGATTTCTTTCCTTATTTTTTTGCTGCTGACATATAAGGTTATCATTGTCAAGCATGGTGCGTTATGTAATTTTTGAAACACAAAGGTTGTCAAAAATTCAACAGTGCAATGCATTTATGGACTGTTTTTAGGCACAAAGCATGGACTGTTTTTATGTACAAAACATAATGTTCATGAGTGCTAGCTAGGAATTGCTTTGTAATGTATGGTGTCACATATACTGTACCAATTTTACTTGAGATGTGAAATAACATTCAGCCACTGACAACTATGGTGTCTGTTATTTGTTCAATTTCTGTACGGGCTACCTTTCTGGGTTTAAGTTCAAGTAAACCGTTTTAGCCTATTACTTTCAGTAGTGTTAATAGCTCTTCACTAGGTTTCTGCGAATGAATATCTTAGTATAGAAATTTGGTTCATTGAAATTTAAATTATTGAAAATTCCGAAATAATCTAAATGAATAAATAAATGTATATCTAACTTTTTAAAGGTGGTTTCACTGCAGTGAAGAGGTGCTATGTCGTGAAAACATCAGTTTGTGCGAAATGCGCATTGCTGTGAAGCCCCACTTCAAGGTAAAATGAACATATAACCCTCGCATTGATTTTATCTTTTTTGGCATTTAAAACTTTGTTGTACTGGCTCATATGCTCATATTATAGTAACATAACACTTTTTACAGATTATCACTTGCATTCTACCAAAAGTCAATCCTGGTACTATTCAAAGTTTTTTCCACTTTCTTTGAACCAGAAAAATGGCATTTGCACAGTCCTTGTTTCAATTTTAGAAAAATATATATATATAAATATATTCTTCAAGTTAGTTAGGTATTCACAAATGTGTTTATTTTTCTTTATAACATGTGATATATACTATTTGAATTCGATTTGAAATAACTCTACCAAAATTGCTACTCGCTTCATTTTGGCTTCGAGCCTGAAATGCCCTATTCGCACAAGCCTACTCTTCATCGTTATCTGACACGGCCGAGAGCCGTGAGCACTGTTCACAAGTTGCAGTGAAAACTTGGCCAAAAGGCAGCAGTTGTTTGAAATTGTTTACCCTCGCAAGCGATTGCAAGGGGAAAAAAAAAAAAGCCGCCACAAGCTCTGCAATAAACTGGACCTTTTTGTTTCTCTCTGCATGCAGTCTCTCAGCTTGCAGATTTCAGTGCTGAGTGCTGCCTCCCTTCTACCTCGTGATGACTGCATCAATTTGTCCCTGCGGTGCTTCTCCATGCTCCGAAGCTTCCTGACTGTGCCGAACACGGGTGCACAGTTGGTCCTGTCTGAGGAAGCCAAACAATGTGTGCTCTTTTTGTGCAACATGCACCGTGCAGCTGACGTCTTGGGACTAATTGTTGAATCTGTGGAAGAGCTGCAGGTGAGTGTCCGGGAAAACATTGCGGGAGTGGGCATTTCAAACAGCCGCTGATTACGTTCCGGAAATTGAGAGATTGCATCTATGGTTCTTCTTTCTCTTCACCACTATAGCAGAAAGTAGCAGTTTGCAAATAGGCACACTTTTGAAGTTATCGATATTTGTAGCTGAGCTCCAGGTACAGACGAATCTCGATTATTCGAACTCAAAGGGGTCCAAGAATTTGTTCAAAAAGAAAGAAGTTTGAATTAATGAAAGCTAAATGAATGGAGGGCTCACCCTGCATAGGCGCATGTGCATTGAGCTAACACGCAAGGGAGAAGTTTCATAAGAATTACAAATATTTACAAATCTCAGGACATTATTTGAAGTAATCAGTGGTGCGAACCTGCACACGTTTGCCTTGCAGCGAGTCGATTTCGCACAGCTTGCAAAGCACTTCTATTCGGCTTCAACATTCTCCTGACAAAGGAAGCTGCGTCCGGCAATGTCCTGCGCTGACATTTTCTATAGACTACTATTATAAGGACTGCGTCTCCGTTACGCAGCCGCAGCATGGCCAGCACATGACTAGAAAGGAGGAGTGTCCTCACGCAGAGAGAAGCAGATCAGCATTTAGGAGAGAACCAACACTCCACGGCAGCTTTTTTTCTCTCTCTCTCTCTCTCTCTCTCTCTCCGCGCGTTTCGTTGAAAAAAGGGTCTACAGGTAGCGACGGGAAAGGGGAAGCGTGGCACCAGCGTGTGAGGGAGAGCGAACACACTGCGACAGCTTTCTTTTTTCTCTCTCTCTCTCTTTTCGCGCGCGGCGTTGAAAAGAGAAGTCTTTACGTTGCAAGGACGGAAAAGGGAGAAGCGTGGCACAGGCGCGTTGCAGATTGGCATTTGAGAGAAAGCAAACATTGCACCGTAGCCTTTTTTTTTTTCTTTTTATTCCTTTGCGCACAGCGTTGAGGTGTCGGAGGTGCAGCCGTGGGATTGGGCATGGTAGCCTTTTCTTTTCCTTCACGCGCAGCACTGAGGTGTCGGAGGTGCAGCCGCGGGATTGGGCGTGGTGCTGAGAGCACTTTCGAAGTGCGGTATATTTGGTCAAATCGCAAGTGCTTGCGCGTTCGAATTACAGGGCATTTTCGCCCATTGTAATACACGTAGCTTTCACAGGACCCCAGTGTGAGTTCGAATGAACCGGAAGTTTGAATTAAACATGTTCAAATTAATGAGATTCGACTTTACAATATAAGGGGCCAAATTTTCAAGGACAACAAATTACTTAGTGTTGGACACTGTCTCTGCAGTTGAGTCTATTGTGAAGGTGGCAACTTATCACTTGCCTTGCACTGCAGAACAAGCAGACACCAGCCAAGCGGCGAAAAGTGCGTTTCTGTGTGGAACGGCGACCCTGCAATCCTGAGCTAGGGCTGCAAGTGCTCCGGCAACTATTGGAGTCTCCCCATCTGCAGAGTACATTGCTAAAGCGTCACACAGTGCCCCTGTTCGACACGTGGAACGTTCTGTTGCGTATTGCTGTGAGTGCCTTTTGCAGTTTTTCTGCCTATTTGCTTGTTTACCGTGGCTGTGCTATGCGTGTGTTCTGTAGAAGAAAGGAAGCCTCCTCATTGGAAAGATGGAAAATGGGGCGACTTTATTCCCCAGAGCACCCGTTGCAACGCCTCCATTCCTGGCCGTTCCAAATTAGTCTATCCAAGATGCACGCCGTGCACTCCCACGCGCTCATCACATCATCATCCTTTTCTTCTAATATTTAACAAGTTCATGGCCATCGCCTTCCACTCTGTGCCACCTGGCCTGGCTCAAAGGAGCAGTGTGTGACATTGTTTACACGTGCTGCTCTGTGTGACAGTCTGCTGCTGAAGAGGTCTAGGTTTTATGGGCTGTCTGTACATTCAGGAAATTTAAGCATCTCCATTTACACATCTCAGTTCCTTTAGAGCATGTCTCGTTGTTGTTTTGCTTCAAAGCAAACGAACCATGCCTAATTATGTGTGATACTCTGTCCTGTTGTTGGGTGTCGCAAGGCTGCTAGAGTGCTGCGACGCTTACGTGCTATTGTAATGACCACAGCTCCATTGTTGTTAGGCCATGCTGCTGTGCAGCCGCCACATAACTGAAATGTGGCTAGGACACATTCTTAGAGAGGTGAGCAAAACTTGCTCTGAAAGATTATAAATGCCAGCACATGGCATGCCTGAGAAAAGTGAACCACTACTGACAATGGCCTGCTGTGACATAAAGGTGTACAATGCCTGACGTTACCCATCAAGTGTCTACTTCGTTATATGTAATGCTTGTTAGCGTCATCGGAGCCTCGCACTCTATTTTTATAGCTTTTGCAGCTAAGCTGCGTTGTACTATGAACTTTTTCATGTGTTGAGGTTTTTCTAACAGGTAAGAGGCTTCATGAACTGGTGCGAACATGAGGTACTGAAAAAACCAGAATATAGGTCGGACAAGGATATAGACCAACCCCCAAAACTTTGGATCTCCGTAAAAGAAATGTTTAAAAATTGCAAAATATCGCGGCGCACCCTTACCTTGCACAACCAGTTACATTTACATTGTAATGACATTTCTTTTAATTTGGACACTTATCTTAAAAGTTGTAAATGCAGTAGTTAAGGTTGTACAGGTTCTATGTGTCATACCACTCCGTTAAAAATTGTATAAGGTTATGCAAGTTAGTTTGTGCCTTTACTACTAATAATAATTCAGGATAAGTAGTTAAACGCCTGAAGGCCACAAAATGCTGTCGCTCTGACTAGTCCGAACTTGAGCCCGACGACGTCGGTTTTTCACAAGTAACATCCCAGAGTGCACCGTCCCCTGTTCTATCTATTGCGTTACTGGTGCAGCATTTGTGGAAAGACGGAAGTACGCTGTCTCAGAGCAAAGCCCTTCCGCTTGATAAATAGGCGCACCCACGATGGCGATACCTTGAATCACCCTCGTGAGCCGAGAGTCCCACGATATCTCGAGAGCTTTTACATGGATGCACTCCGCTGTTACGGGTAGTGACCTTGCATGCAGCTCCCAGATTAATTCAGCGAGTGGTGTTTCCAGTACGGGGTGCACTTAAAGGGAGATGCTACTCGAAGACGCTTTTTTTTTTTTATTATTCACCCTAGAGCAACGAAACTTGAGCTGTTTATGGAACTTTTTATGCTGATTTCAAATATATAATTAGTTTTCTTGCAAGTTACGCACATTTAGCTCTGCAACATAACAAAGTGAGAACCTTAACCCCCCCTCTTTTCATCGCAAACTTCCGTAATATTTTACCATTCATAGCTCACAATGCTTAAAATAAAGTGTAGAGTGCAAATAACTAATTAGGAAGCACACACAAAATATGTAATACGCATAAAAAATAATAGACGTAATAAGTCCATATTTCACCTACCCTAGTAAAGGTATACATACAACTTTTTTATTATACAATAAAATATTGATATTTAAACTAGATAATTGCATTTGCCATACTTTGGAAAAAATTTGGGCATAATTTCAAACAGATCCGAGCACTAGAAGTGCCCGAAAAAGGAGGGGCATAATTGGAAAAAATGGCAAAATTTGTGTTTCGAGAAAAACGAGTTTTAAAGTTAAAATTGAGTTTTTATTTATGAACGATATTATTAAATTAGATGAAATTTGCACACCAAAAGAACAATCCTTCTTGTAGAGGCCACTGCGACTAAAATACGCCAGCACCATGAGTTTGTCCCTCTCGGCGTTTTGGAGCCGACTCCTCACAGGCATTTCGCTCACAGACAGGGCCATAAAACGCTTGCCAAACTTCCGCTCCATCTGGCAGAGCCTTGTGCCAACTGTAAGCTAGGAAGAAGTTCGACAGGACTGCGAAATCCAAACTAAGTCCAGTGTCATGCCATTTTGCAGCCATGTTTGTGCCACATATTGCCGCATGAATTCGCGTGGTTTTCGTGTGGAAGAGGACGAAGAGGTTGGGTTGGAGCAGTTTTTCTTTTTGTCCTAGCTTGACGAGCAGTTCTGCGGAAGGTTTCCTTGAGTGAGACAAGATTGGTGACAAGATTGGTGGAGGTGCTGGGTACGACAACTGACGACGCACCCCATGCACAAGAGCCCATCCAGGAGCCGGAACACAAGCCCTGTGCCCGTGGACACGCCAGTTCACAGAACAAGCCGCCGCCAACGAGGCCTACCACCAGAGACACCGGCACAGCTTATCCATAGAGCGACTATGACTTCGCCTCAAGGCGTCATGGAAACTCCTACGTCGTCGGCACCAATTTATTGCACTGTCCAGAACCCGCTGATGCCTAGTCCCTTTCACGGAGAGCTGTTTGAGGATGTGGACGACTGGCTGAGCGAGTTCGAACACGTCGCAGCGATCAACTACTGGGACGAAGCCGCCAAACTCCGCAACGTCTACGCGTGTTTGAAAGACGGCGCCCGAACGTGGTTCATGAACAGAAGTGATGTCTTGACATCCTGGCGCGAGTTCCAGCATCGCCTCTTGGAGACCTACCGGAGCCCCGACCGCCGCGATCGTGCTGAACGTGCATTGCATTCACGCATCCAGATGCCTAATGAGACCGTCACCATGTACGTGGAGGACATGACGCAGCTTTTCAGGCGAGCGGATCCGGCAATGCCAGAAGAAAAAAAGCTACGCTATCTGATGCGAGGCGTGAAGGAGCAGCTTTTTGCTGGTCTAGTGCGGAGTCCTCCGAAGAGTGTAGCAGAATTCCTGACCGAAGCCACTACGATGGAGAGGGTACTTCATCAGCGGTCAGCCCTACTCAACCGGCAAGTGAATTCTGCATCACCTACTGAATTTTCCGCCAGCTTCGGGAGCAACAGCATTGAGTGGATTCGCGAAATCGTCCGCTCCGTCGTCCGCGAGGAAATCGCGAAACTACACGGGGCGAGACAGCCGGAGGTAAGCAGCATCACCAATATTATTCGGGACGAGGTCCAGCAGGTGCTTCACAGCCGTCGCCCTCAACCAACGGTTACAAATCTAGAACCACCTCCTGCGTCCACTGATGTTGGGAACCGCACATATGCCGAAGCTCTGCGCACTTCCATGCCGGTCTCAAGCCCTGCAGTCCCAATCCAGACGATGCCGCCAGTTTCAATTCAATCTGCGCATGCTGGTTTGGACATCGACGGTCGCCGTGCCCCTCCGCGGAAGTCCGATATTTGGCGTACGTCGGATAGAAGACCCCTCTGCTTCCATTGCGGTGAAGCCGGTCACATCTACCGGGAATGTCCATACCGACAACTTGGACTGCGCGGTTTCTCTATTCATTCGCCTCGTCCCCTAGTTGGTCAGAGGCCAAGAGAAATTGAGGACTACCTCGCGCAGCAACGTCTGCCTTTCCCACGGCGTCAATCGCGGTCTCCATCTCCACGACGACCCGCAGCTATTGGACCACGTCTCAGTACGATGGCACGGGGACGTTCCCCAAGCCCTCGTCGGGAAAACTGAAGGCAGCGACCTTCGGGGGCGAGGTCGCTGGGACTAAAAGTGCGGAAGACCTCCTATCGACGCTTCCACAAAACGCTGCAGACATTGAATTGACGTCTGAGTGCAGTGCGAGAGAAATGCCGGATTGTGCGTCTGAACCCAGTGGCCGAGTCTCACTCGACATTCCCGTGCTGATAGACGGTCTTCAGGTCAGCGCATTGGTGGACACAGGTGCAGATTATTCTATTATGAGCGGAAAATTGGCAACCAGTCTTAAGAAAGTGATGACACCTTGGAATGGGACGCGTATTCGCACTGCTGGAGGCCACGTTATTACTCCATTGGGTCGCTGTACCGCAAGAGTGGAAATACGCGAGTCAACGTTTGTGGTAACCTGCCTCGTACTACGCGACTGTTCTCGTCAGCTCATCCTTGGAATGGACTTCCTTCGAGAGAATGGCGCGATCATAAATCTCCGCGAGCGAATGGTGACTTTCTCGACGCAACTTGCAACCGATCGAGGCGCTGATAGCTGTCGTAGACCTGCGCTGCGTGTTGCCGACGAAAGCGTGACGTTGCCTCCCCGAGCGACTGCTTTCGTAGAAGTCACCTGTGAAGACCTCCAAGACGGTGACGTGGTCGCCGAGAGCAACGTATCCCTTTTACTGCTTCAAGGTGTGTGTGCAGTGCGAAGCATTCTGCGTGTGCGTGACGGACGGTCGCAGATACTCGTCACAAATTTTAACTTCGAGCACCGACATCTTTTCCGCGGCACCACCGTGGCCTTCGGAGACCGTGTAGCGGATGTCACCGAGTGCTTCGCATCCGAGGAAATGGTTGATGGAGATAAGTTTCTGGACCACATCGACGTCAGTTCGAAGCTTTCGGACGAGAAGAAGGCCGCACTGCATACCCTGCTGAAGGAATTTAAATCTTGCTTCGCCTCTTCATCTAGAGTCGGTCAAACACCCCTCATAAAGCACCGAATTATTACCGACGATGATGTTCGCCCAATCCGCCAGCAACCTTACCGTGTTTCGGCTAAAGAACGCGAGACTATACAGACGCAGGTAAAGGAGATGCTTGACGACGGGGTAATACAACCGTCGAGCAGCCCGTGGTCCTCGCCAGTCGTTCTAGTAAAGAAGAAAGACGGAACGCTGCGATTCTGTGTTGACTACAGGAAACTCAATAGCGTCACCAAAAAAGACGTCTACCCGCTTCCACGGGTTGATGATTCTCTCGACAGGCTACGACACGCGAAGTATTTTTCATCGATAGATTTGAAGAGCGGCTATTGGCAGATAGAGGTCGATGAGCGAGACAGAGAGAAGACAGCGTTTGTAACTCCCGATGGGCTTTATGAATTCAGAGTTCTTCCTTTCGGCCTCTGTTCGGCTCCCGCAACATTCCAGCGAATGATGGATACCGTCCTCGCTGGCTTGAAGTGGCAAAGCTGCCTTGTATACCTTGATGATGTGGTCATCTTTGCCGAGAGTTTCGAAGAACATCTGAAGCGTCTAAGAATGGTTCTGGAAGCTATTCGTTCGGCCGAACTCACGCTAAAACCCCAGAAGTGCCATTTCGGCTACGATGAGCTGAAATTTCTGGGACATGTTGTGAGTGCGGATGGAGTGCGGCCTGACCCAGAAAAAACTGCAGCAGTCGCCACCTTTCCTGTGCCGTCAGACAAAAAAGCGGTACGGCGTTTTCTCGGCTTGTGTGCTTATTATCGCCGATTCATTACCAACTTCTCGACGATAGCCGAACCGCTCACGCGACTCACCCGAGATGATGTACCGTTTGCCTGGACTACAGAGCAAGAAGCAGCTTTCACAGAGTTACGGCAGCGAATGCAAGAGGCACCTGTTCTTGCGCATTTTGATGAGGACGCTGATACCGAAGTTCACACGGATGCAAGCAACGTCGGACTTGGCGCTGTCCTTGTACAACGGCACAACGGCGTAGAACATGTCATAGCTTACGCCAGTCGTACTCTCTCTCGAGCCGAGGCCAACTACTCCACTTCAGAGAAGGAATGCCTCGCAGTCGTGTGGGCAACGGCAAAGTTTCGACCTTACCTCTACGGCCGTCCCTTCAAGGTGGTGACCGATCACCATTCGCTGTGTTGGCTGGCCAATCTCCGTGACCCGTCTGGTCGTCTCGCTCGGTGGAGTTTGCGCTTGCAAGAGTTTGACATCATGATTGTGTATAGGTCTGGGCGCAAGCACGAAGATGCCGACGCACTTTCTCGAGCACCCGTGGGACATCCTGATATGGACTCGGAATATGCTGATGGTTTTCTCGGAGCCCTCAGTGATTCTGACTTTATGTCTAGACAGAGAGCCGATCAGGAATTGCGCCCTATTATTGATTCCTTAGAAGGCCGAAATTCTCACACTCCTCGGCGCATCGCTCGCGAATTGTCATCCTTTTGTCTAAGGAGGGGCATTCTTTACAAGAAAAATGCTCGAGGTAGCAACAAAGCCTTCCTCCTCGTTGTACCAGCCGACATGCGGGATGACATCCTCCTCGCGTGCCATGACGAGCCCACGTCGGGACACTTGGGCTACTCGCGGACTCTCGCCAGAGTGCGCCAGCAGTACTATTGGCCACGACTTTCGACCAGTGTACACCGCTACGTGCAAGGCTGCCGCGAGTGCCAGCGTCGCAAGACGCCACCCGTGAAACCTGCGGGCCTTCTCCACCCTATTACACCACCACGGACACCTTTCGACCTCGTGGGAATGGACCTTCTAGGACCCTTCCCTTTGTCGGCCACTGGTAACAAATGGATTATAGTGGCAACCGATTACTTGACCCGGTATGCTGAGACAAAGGCATTACCCCGCGGCACGGCGTCTGAAGTGGCGAAGTTCTTCGTGCAGCACATCGTCCTCCGGCACGGCGCGCCGTCATGTGTGATTACGGATAGAGGAACATCATTTACGGCACAAATGCTAGAGGACATTTTCAGACTGAGCTGCACGAGTCACCGAAAAACAACGGCTTACCACCCACAAAGTAATGGACTGACGGAAAGGCTCAACAAGACCATAGCGGACATGCTGTCAATGTACGTGGACGTGCAGCACAAAACCTGGGACGATATCCTCCCATACGTCACGTTCGCATACAATACGGCAATGCAGGAAACAACCCGATTTTCACCTTTCCACCTTGTTTATGGACGCAACGTACAAACGATGCTTGACGCTATGCTGCCGTACGATAATAGCGATGCTCTTTCTCCAGAAGCCGAGCAATACACGCAGTACGCCGAAGAGGCTCGTCAACTGGCTCGCGTGAACATCGGTCACCAACAAGACGCAGATGCACGACGTTACAACCTTCGCCGTCGAAACGTCGCATACCACCCGGGTGAACGAGTGTGGGTGTGGACTCCTGTCCGACGACCAGGCTTGTCTGAAAAGCTTCTGAGCCGTTATTTCGGACCATACAAGGTTATCCGACGTGTGAGTGACCTTACATACGAAGTACTTCCGGACGGCACAGTGTCGTCACGTCGACAACATCGGCCCGAAACTGTGCATGTCGTACGACTCAAGCCGTACTACACACAATAGTCTCTGTGCTTGCGAGTTACTTCGCAAACGTGACAGTGATCTCATGTGGTGTTTTTTTTTTTTTTCTTGACTCTTCCACTGGTGCTGTTGTGTTCGCGCATGGTCCAAGTGCTTGTGCGCCCTCTTTGTTTTCCCTGGCACTCACTTTGTCATTCTCTACGTCAACGCGTGTTCTAATTATGGGTTTTTTTTTTCTTCTTCTTTTTATTTAGAAGCATCGAGTCGATGCTTTTTAAAAGGGGGGACTAATGCCGCATGAATTCGCGTGGTTTTCGTGTGGAAGAGGACGAAGAGGTTGGGTTGGAGCAGTTTTTCTTTTTGTCCTAGCTTGACGAGCAGTTCTGCGGAAGGTTTCCTTGAGTGAGACAAGATTGGTGACAATATTGTCGTACATAATGGTAATGTCGTCCCTGCTAAGTTCTCTCACTGCAAGCTCTTTCGACCTCTCAAAATTGGCGCTGACATCATCCGTTGCTGCATCACGAACTTTCCGGCTGACGGATGCGATTGACTTTTGATGCATTGGCTTTTGCAGGCCAACAACTGCCGCAAATCGGACCAGCTGCTCGTAGCCTATTCCTACAGAGCGCGCCGCACAACGGCTTTCACTTGCAAGCGATGTTTTTTTTTCATTCATAACGGAGATAATTACACGAGAAAAGCATTGTTCAGGTGCGCTGCTCGACAAGACATAGACCCCGCAAATAGGTTTCATAGCACATACAGGCGCGCAGCGGCCAACGGCGGTCCCTGATACGTACCATGCGATAAGCCTGTCGCGGCGCTCGAAAAACACGCAGAAGAGTGCTTCTTTTTATTACTTCTTGCGTTGCATCAGCGAGAGAAACTTGGTATTTGAAGAGTGAGGCTCGAATCTTCGACTCATGCGATCAACAATGGCGAGGGGCGGCGCATTATCGGCGGCAAGGTGCTCAAAGACTGCACACTTTCGGCCATTAATAGGCACCTTGTGCTCTTTAGATGCAATTTTAAAGCATTTTCAGTTAGGTCTCGACCTGTAATATTTTTTTCATAACAGGAGAGGTACTAATCTTATCAAAACGGGCGAAAAAGAATTGGTAATTTTGAAAAAAGTTCGCGTTTTTCGACCCGCATTTCCCCTTAAGTCTGTCCATGAAACATGTTTTTTTGATTCCTGCAGGATGTGATGCGCTGCTTTCGGCTCCTCCAGTATCGGACGCTTTTCTCTAAGCACCGAATTTCCATCGTGCCTCCAGGTTGCCGTGCGCTTCGACATACTCGATCACTTTTTTCTTAAAGCCTATCATAAGCGTATCATAAGCTGCCGTCGACTACCACTCATTTTTGGAGGAAATAGAGAAAACAGCAGACTGACAGCAAATAAGAGGCAAAATGGCGTTCCTAGAACACTAGGTCTTGCCGAGCTTTGTTCAACAGCGCACTGCTGATGCTCACAATAGCAATGGAGGCTTTTAACAGCAGCTAGCCATTGTTGCACGACATCCGCATTTTTTTCTGCCAATGACCGGTATATAAGATGAGTATCGACTGTTTCTTCCGGTTTTTCTTTTTATATTCAATTTATATTGCAGTTGCATGTATAGCTCATTAACGAATATGAAACCATTTGGCAGCTTGCTAAGATCTTTCTTCGAGTTCTAACTTCAAGCCTCACATTTTCACTTTGGTTTGTTTTTCCAGGACTCGTTAAAAGACTTGCTCTCCATCTCTAAAAGCAGAATTGTGGCTCAAGACGAGATGCTGAAGGCCTTTGACTTGTTCCTCCTGCTCACATACCTCCTTCATGACCAAAAACACCCCGTATGTATATACATGAAAACATTTGCACTTTTCATCTTCACGAATGTGTTTCTTGCAACCTACAATGCTCGAGACTTTCGAAATTTGTTTGATAGTCTAGTTTACGAGTACGGTATACAATCATGTAAGGGCCGCACTTTTTTCTGCAAGATTGAAGGGGTGCAGGTGTTCCACAGAAAGGTGTAATTTTTGTAAAAAAAACCTATTTAATTGTGCCCCATATTCAGTGTAGACCACTTATGACGTAGGTCGTGAATAATCTCACTGTAAGTGGTACCGAACTATGATCAAAAACACCCTTTTTCAAGAGCAACACTTGCGCAAAATAGGTTGAGCATGCTACCTCACATGTCAGAGAATCGACCGAAGCATGCAATGCGTGGCGCTTACAGCCATTTAAATTTCTGAATGTCAAAAAAAATTAACGTCTAAAAACCCGCACTGCCAATGAAATGAGCAAAAAGGGGTGGGATGGTCTAACGAAAGAAAGCACTATCGCAGAAATTTGCTGACACCTTCTCAAACTGCCTTGATTATGTGCGTCACACAGAAACTGTCGAATCACGTCCGGTATTTCACGCGCTGGAAGACACCAATACAGTCAACTGCCGATTTTTCTGACCCTCTAAGGAGCGAAAAACCGTCCGAAAATTTGGGCAGTCCGAAAAAATGAATGCAAGCAAAAAAAAACGCATTATTTTACTGATAATTGTCAATGCAAGCAAAAAAAAAATGCTCTATTTTGCTAATATTTCTCAATGCAAGCAAAAAACGCCCATTTCATTGATATTTCTCGGATCGAGAGGGTAAAGGTCGAAGTACCAGACTTCCGGAACTCTGCCAAAGCATCAGTGGGGTGGCTCTGAAAAGAGCCGTTTAAAAAAAAAAAACATGCAGCCAACAGCGGGTGCCATCAGGGTAGACGGTGTTAGAGCCGCAGTGGCTTGAGAAACTTGTTGATCCTTGTTTCAACGGCGTTCCGCTTGCATGTGATCACATTTGCCTCGATCTGAGCAAGGGTCATGTCATCACTGTACACTGATGACAGCGTCATCAATGCTTGCATCAATTCGGCGGTCGTAGGTGGTGCAGTTGGTTCCTTTTTTTCGACATCGGAGTCGTCTGAATTCGCCATAACTTGACTGACTATTTCGTCGTCGGTTAGCTGTGCGCAAAAGTCGAGCTCGTTGTCAGCGTCGACGAACCGCTCAAAAGTTATTTCCGTGTGCATGGAAGCACCAGTAGAGCGGAGGTCGTTGATAATATCATCCATGAGAGGGCACAAGTCAGTCACGCTGTCGCTTTCTTCACGCAAGTCTGCTGCCTCTGTGTCGAGTACCAAGCCCACATGGCGAAAGCAGTTGCGAAGCTTGTCTTGCGTTACTGCTTTCTATGCGTCCACAAGCATTTTGACAGCAGAACGAAGGTCAACGCTGTAGCCTTTCCCGTTTTCCGAGCACAGCACCATGTGGTTGAGTATACGTGAACGTTACAAAAGTTTCAGATTACGGATAACACTTTGGTCCATCCCTTGGAGGATCGCAGTCGTGTTGGGCGGCATGAATTCCAGCTGGATAGCTTTCAAGTTATTGATGTGACCATGAGCAGCGCAGTTGTCAACAAGGAGCAGGAACATGTCTGTTCTGTTGTTCAAACTTCCCGTCCAACCTGCGGACATAACTCTCGAACAACTGCTGCGTTACCCATGCCTTTTTGTTGGCTTGATATAACACTGGCAGCGTTGCCCCTTTAAAACACCTAGGGCTCTTAGACTTCCCGATTACTAACAAAAGTTTCTCGCCGCCAGACATGTTGCTGCCGACAAGAACGGTCAGCCGTTCTTTGCTATGCTTGTTTTTTGGCATGCGTCACCAGCAAAAGTGAGTGTTCTATCCGGCAGCAGCTTGCAAAACAAGCCAGTTTCGTCGCAGTTGAAAATGTTGTCAGCAGAGAACTGCTGCAACAAAGACTGGAGTTTTGCACTGCGGTACTGCGCAATAACTGCAGTGTCGACGGCGCTGCTTTCGCCACACATCTTCTTGAACTTGAGGTCATTCTGATGCTTAAAGTTTCTCAGCCATCCATCACTTAACTTAAAATCCATGACGTCCATTCAAAGCGCGAGAGTTTCTGCTTTTTGTTTGAAGATGCAGACCGAGTCTGTCAACCGCTTGGAAATCATTGAATTAAGCCACACGATGAGAGCGTCCTCAAGCTATGGATGAACACCTTGGCTTGCATTCATCTTTTGGGCACCAGACGGTTTTTCGGTGGCTTCCAAGATCTTCTCTTTGTTCCTCAGGAAATCGAAACTATTTGCTTGGAATACCGAACTCCTTGGTCTTGTCAGCCTGCGATCGGCCACTCTTCACTAACTTATTAATGGCGGCTTTTTTTCTCCATCGTTAACCAACAGTACTGTTTTCCGCGCTTCGATGCCATTGGCGAAAACGACGAAAGCGGAGTAGGGGTCATCGGTGGCAAGTGAAATCCTCAGGATGTGAACAAAGGAGTTTGCTGACGAGCGTCGAAGCACCTAGGCTTAGCGTTGCAGAGCACACTTCATACGATTGCATAATCACTAACTAGGCTAGCCAAACACCATGTGGGCTGCGTAAACAAAATGGTGCGACGGCAGGCGACGGTGCCTCGGGTACTCCGGAGGTGGCGCTGGTAAACATTCAAGATAGCCAGCGTGGCCAGACCAAATCGCTGTGTGACGGTTCTAGTTCGAAGTGGTGAAACGCTTCGCTAAAGCACTGCGCGGGAAGCCAGAGTGGCACGCACAAGCACTAAAGTTAAAGGAACTTTATTGGCGCCAAAAAATTTCCGGGTGGATAGTTTCGATTTTCAGCGAAGCACCCTTGCACGGCCAGTGTTAGGAATCTCGGAGGCCGTGTGTGTTTCTCCGCTAACGATTAACGAGTCCAAGCAACAGATGCCGCCACAGTAGACCGGTGCGCTCATTTATGCGATCGTAATTGCGTGTGATGCAGTTGTGGTGGTTTCTACTGGAGGTCGGTGGTGGTTTTCGACCTTTGGTCGCGTCAAAAAGTCCGGGAAATTGGACTCCGGGGGGTTCGAGGGTCCGAAATTTCAGACTTCTTTATACATTGATTCTATGGGGCTCGTGGCGGTGCCGCGAAGATCTCCGAGTTATCGGGCATGTCCGAAAATTCGGGTGTCCGAAAAATCGGCAGTTGACTGTAGTTCATTTTCACAGGCATGCACCCAACTTCAAGACATTGAAATTGATTCGCGAACCTCAGTCCAGGGCTACATGTGCAACCTTCGTTATCATTACCGATAGGTTTCCCTTTCCGTCTAGTGCAGCGATCGTAAAGAGTTTGGGTGATTTCGTACCAAACCGCAACTTAAATAGCACACAAAGGCTACCGAAACCCAACCAACGTCGAATAGGCCTAGCCTGCTATTCGGTTTGACGTCGCAGGAAGTTTGTCCAACACGTGAAGGTTCCGCACCGAAAAGAGCGCATTGAAGTATTAAACCAAGAACATCGTGCTTGCGTGCGTGATAGAAGTTTGCGTTTGTGGACGGCGCATTGGCAGCAAAAGCGAACGCTCTCTTCATAAAGCCGTCTAAGGTTTTAAATTTGCTGCCAAGGTAGTGAACGGGATATATGTAGCAAGCTCGATAACGACGACGCTTTCCCAACAAGAAACTCTTCAGCACAGTTGCTAAAAGTTGGGGGGGCGGGGGGGGGGGGGGGGGGGGGGGGGTAGGCTTACAATAAAGTACCGTAGTTCAACCACAGCTGCCACATACGTAATGACCCAATCGTGCCTGCCACAATGACTCACAGTTCTGCATGCACGCTCAAGGCTCATTTTTGCGACATTCTATGGTATCTGCACAGTGACGTAGTCACTCGAGCTCCGTACACTGGTGAATTGTGTTGTCTGCTTCATACTGTTCATTATTTTAAAGATTTTGGAGTTTCACGTTCAAACTGCAAAGCTCATCAAGCCAGTGAGCTTTCACACCGGCAAGGGTCAGTTGTGTCACGGGATTACGACGTCGGTGATTGCCATGCACTTTGACACTCCTCTCCTCTCTCCCTTTTGTGGGGCGTCATGGCGCGGGTGCAAAGTTGACAGTTTTCTTGAAGCAATCGTTCAGTGCAGTCGTGTTTGGAAGTGCCGTGCCTAAACACATGCTCGCTAAGTGCCTAGGCCACCTGTGCTTAAAAGCAATGACGCCAACCAAGCAGTTCTACTACAGCGCAGCCTTTAAATAAAAGGTTGTTTTGCTCATGAAGAAAAATTCAAACCTGCAAGCACACCTAGAATTTTGCATGCACGAAAATAATGCGTAACGATGGTGCCAAAACTGGACCAGACTGTTCAATCCTGCAGCAAACCATACAGTTTTAAAGCAAGCAGGGGCAGGGCAACATACTTCATGAAAGTATTCAAGTTCAGTCAAAAACAAATGACCTTTGTATGTCAGAGGCTGCCCGCTGACATCGAGGAGAAGCCTGTCAAGTGTCAGTGTTGCATAGATGGACAAACGGTGTGAAAGGACTACCGGTTGGGCCAAATTGCAAACGCTGACCAAACCCCGGTGTTATTCAGCATGCAAGTGGCATACACTGGGTACAAAGGTATAAAGGCTTTCAAATTTAGTATAGTTGGTTATAAAAAGCAGTGAACAACAGCGATGTTATGCTGCACTGCTGTTAGATGAATGTTCCTCTCACACATAACATTTAAGTGCATGACTTACCAGCAGGTGAAAAGTTTCCCGGAAATCTTGTGCACGTTCACAACAAAGGTTGTATGTCGACAGCTTGATGGAGGACAGGATAAAAACAGTCTGGGAACACTGCCCAGGGGCTGCATTGTTGCATTGTACAAGCAGCCACTTATGGTTGCTTGCCGCACTATCGCGGCAACGTTTAGCGTGCCCCTTGTGCCCCCACAGCAGGTGGGAGCTTGTACAGGCTGTGCTCTCAACACGAAAAAACAGTGCCAAAAGTCTACCCGGAGCAGCTGTGTCCTCTTACCCTAGCGTTTTGTAGAGTTACGTGTGATCGGATCTAAATGAGTTGACTGCCAGCCTCACTTCGTATATCAACGCCGTCACTATGCACGAGCCTTGTCGTGGTCTACTGCAGCCGCGCCACAAGAAACTTAGTTGCTTAACAAGCGCATGTTTACTACAATCAAAGTTGCTCCTAAAAATGCTAGCCTTGCTTCACAAAACATTTGAATATGTTACTATCGCATTCATTGCTTCGCCCTTTTGGCGAAACTGTGAATTTTTTTAAAACTGGACAGGTCGGGTCATATAGCAGGGCTCAGTTGAACCAAGCATGCCTGTCATCTCGGAGCCAATGGCAGAAAATTGTTCAATGGCCGTTGTTGCTGCCGTGGCTCTCGCTGCTTTCATTCTGCTGGTACTGGTGTCGGCGACCATGCTGTAAAGCCAGGAAACGTACATGGCAACGGTGACGTGAGACGTTCTGGTTGAGACGGGTAATTTGAAGTGCGCTAACTTGACGCTGACCACTAAAATGAATTATTAGCACAAAAGTAACACTATGAGGTTTCTCGACCACTATTTCAACAATCAACGTCAACTTAATAGTCTTTTGTGTCCCTTTAAGCCCTCCTTATAGGAATTCCACACCTGCCATTGCTAACTTTTGACAACTGGTTCGACAACTGAGACTCAGTGACAGGTGTACATCCTTACCTTTCCACCGGTCCTCTTTTTCGTCTTTATTCATGAAATACCCGTTCATTTTTCACAGCACCCCTTTTCTTGCTCTCTCACACACCCATATCCAATTTCGCCCCTGCCCCTCCTTTGTTAGGATGAAGAAGAGGGTACGAAGTGTGGACATGTTAGCACTAAAGAAATCAGTTCTGTTCTAGCCATCGGGAAGCCAAGTTCGCTTGTGGAAACGTCGGCTCGACCCAAACTCCTTTTACGGATTTTCCATTTTCCATTGCAAGCTTTCAGCTTCCCCTTCTTTCCATTTATTGCTGTATTACGTGTATTGTGAAGTTTTTATACAGGACTTGTATGTTTGCAAAGCGAGAAAGTTACTTTCGTTGTATTTCCAAGCAGGCTCGGGGTGCCTGGTAACGAACAGCCTGGATTGAATTCTCAAGATTCAGAAATTTTTGTTATTTACTTTACTTGCATCTATCTAGATTTTTTGGTCACTTTCAAGAACATTTTTTGCTTGCAACCACTGACGTCAACACAGACAGTTCTGCGAAACGAGCTCTTGTATGCTACCATGTTGAAACAACCAGGGTACACCAACCATGCCTCCAAGCACTGCCCCAACCTAGGCAAAAGCAATGCTTGCATGTTTCTTTTTCATAAGCAGGTGCTCAGGGACCCTCTGCAACCTTTCTTTTGCAAGTTCACTCCGAAGTGTTTGAAAAACTTTAAACAAGTAGTCCAGTTCACTTGCACCTCCCAAAGTTTTACTATTCGCACAGCTTTAGTATTTTAATTTTTTTATGTTGTTAGTCGGAACATGCATCTCTCACAGATAAGTGCAGGCATTGTGGCACTGAAAAGAACTCTAAATGCACAATGTAATCCGTCCATATCGCCTCACTGAAATCCAAATGTCCTCTACAGCATAGTGCTGCTGCTTTGGCCGTGTATTTCATCGTTCTTACGAATGACCATCATGACGGTATGCAGGTGACCAAGGAGAAGTTCACGGCCACGGCTACGTTTGAGCGCCAGATGGAGTGGATACAGGAGCGTCTGTTGCCAGCGGTGCCAAGTCAAAAAGGGAGACCTCGGGAGATGTGTGTCGAGGTGATCAAGGTGGGCTCGGTCTTTTTTCAGCCACAGCTGTCGGTTTTTTTGTATGTAGCGACAGGTAAATAATGTTACGACAAAGCAGCTTTGGTAAACTTGCTCGGCTTCCTTTATTTTAATGCCGGTGCAAACGTGCGCTTCTCAATGGGAACCGTCGGTCCGCCCTAATTCAGAGAGTAGTCATAATGCGGCGCTATGTGAGGGGTCGTGCTGTTTGCGTCACACGTGCGTTCAAGCGCTTGATGGGATAGGCTTGTTTCCCACACCAATATCATGCATCTGTCAGATTCGCGCCTTCATGCTGCTTCTTTCTGGCTAGAGACAATGCTGCCGCCATGTCACAGAGCAGCGCATGCAGAAACGTTGCAGAGACGCTTCTCCATTGGTTGCCCGCTTAGCGCCACCAATGGCGACACGCTATTTTACCGAGCTACCGTGACTGCCAGTATTGTGAACACGAGGAATGCAAGACGCCGCCCCATGGATCTGTACACAATTCTCCCCCATGACCAAAAGCACACCCGAAGGCTAGGCGATGGGAGAGAGCGGGAAAGGGCTGGAAAAAGGGTGGTGAACAGCTGGATTTGGCACATCTGGCTGGCACTGATCAAATAAAAGAGGCGTTGGTGATACTCTCATTCATTCATAACTGGCCCAATGTAGAAGCAAGAATGCAAGACCATTTAAACAGTGCTTTAGTTCACGATGTAGATTCTGCAGTGCAGGTTGAAGAGATTTTCATAGTAACTGTGTCACTTTCTAAACTAGTGTTTCAATACCTGATCGCTTGGCACAGTTCAAATTTGAGCGATTGGACCAACCTCTAAGATAGCCATGCTAACGCTGAAAAGTAACCTGGGTGATGAGTTAAACAATTTATTTGTCGTCTTACTGAGAAGGAAATAAATGAAAAGATTGTCGCTTTTTACCATAAATTTGTGCTTCCATTTTTCTAGATTTTCCTGAAGGTGGCTCGGGCAGTATTCATGGCAAAGTGGGCCACTTTTAACTTTGCGGAGAAAGTGCTGGCGTTCTTGGCCCTGTGCTTGAAGATGGGTGAGTCTGATGCTTTTCCTGGTCGAGAAATTAACGGGTCTGCAACGTCAGTTTTGCAGTTATGTTGCAACGCTAAGTTGCAATTGGGTTCGGGCAAAAAAAATGCGAATGAGAAACGAAACGAAGGCAGTGCTTCTTAATTTTCATCACAGAAGTGGACAGCCTCAAGGAGCACATTGACCGAATACCTCCAGTCATGAAGAGGTTCATGCGGGTCTTTGTCGAAAATGAGCAGCAGGCTTCCACCATCGCTGCCCTTTTGGAAAAGTTCGACTGTGGAGACGTCAGTCAGAAAAGCTCCGGCCTGAGGTCGTGCACGAGTTCACAGGCGGTTTCTGAAGCAAGTGCCCCCACTGGTGACGAACCCATGGTCACTTCGGATGTGGACGTCTGACCCTCCAAATTGCCACCCTTTTTTTTTTTAATTCACTTTTTTTCCCTCGAGTTTACTTTCTTGCACTTGTACATACTCATTCAAAACAGGGATATTTCACAAAGTGCTTTTAGTGCACAAAGATCTTAAAGATTTCATCACTTTTAGCCTGTCAGAGATTTCATTCTAAAATGCAGATTTATGCATGGAATCGGGCTATTGAGCGCATTCCTTTTTTTTTTTTTTTTTCACTTTGAATGCATGAGAAAAAGTGCTTGCATAGAAAGCTTCAGACAAACGCAAACACTGGCTTTTAATTTCCTCTAAATATAAATTTAGATAGAGAACTCAATTTGTGTTGTGTTTTGCATTTGTTTTGCGCTACAAGTAAATTAATCGACTTGACCCTTTTGATGGGAAGCAGGTACCACTAAAAGGAACAGTATTTACATTGCCAGCAGCCCTCGGGCTGTCTGTGGCTGTGCCTTGATAACGGCTCGTAATTTCACATACCTCTGTGGTAACTTATGGCAACGTGCCAGCTTGGTATGCTTGCATTGTGATGTATTAAACTTAACAATTTCTATATTATACATTGTCCTACTTGAATCACAGGTTGGCACATGTGCTACAACTTTATTTTCAAATCGCTATCTCTTGTGGGCTTACAATGTATAGACAATCCAAGTATTCATCTGTAAATAAATGGTTTTGACATCTTGACGGACCAAAACTGTGTCCAATTGTGCCGTTCAGTGTGCTCTCATTGTTGAGTAGTGTACTAAGGAGTTAAGCAACCTCTGGACGCGACTGTGAAATACTGATGTTAGAAACTTCTGGAAAACTTGTGCAGTTTCATCGTTCAAATCGTGCAACAAAATATGGACTGCAAAAAATATTTCTGATTTCAGCACTATACTAGCCAAATAAAATGTGGCTTTTACTGGAATGGTGTGGCCACAGGCCGGCACAACTTGTGGAGCTCACCCAGACTCTTTTATGAAATATATTTTGTGCTTAGAGCTTACGCAAACTCTCCACTCACCAATATTTTGGCGAGTCAAACTCGCGCAGTAGAAAATTTTCTGCTGTACTCGAACACATCAAAATATCACTTGCCCATTCTCGCGGCTCAATCCGAGTCTCCGAGTACGTTCGTCTAAAATTAGCTTGTTTAATCATGGTGCTAATGATCTTTAACCCCCAATGTATCGCATAATTTATGGTCCTCTTGGTGCATTTTGTTACAGTACCTCCAGGTCGAAGTTATGAGTGGATGTAGATTAGTAAGGACATTTTGCTTAGTGATGACATGATATATATTTATGAAGAACTCCCTTGGAAGATCCAAGCGTCTGATCAATAAATATTGAAATGGTGTATGAGCAATACTGTTTTGGAATACATGTGAGTAACGAGATATAAAGGTGAATTCAAGTAAGGCTAATAGTGATGGTGAATATGAGTTGATGGAATTGAAGGTCTGCTATAAAAAAAGAAGTGGGACTTGCTCAAGAAATATATATATATCGCACTTTGAACTCGCACTCACGAAAATTTTCAACCAAATTCACTCAAACTCCAACTCTCCAAAATCACTCGGACTCGCTCACCCTCAGATTCTCTGCTCAATGAGAGTCAGTTCGAGCGTGTTTGCCGACCTATGTGTGTAGCGAGCGGTACGACCTAGCAATAAGTGGTTGGACAGTTTAGTGTGCTGGATGCTTTTATCGTGATAGCAATTATATAGACAATTCAGGGGAAAATTTGCCTTCTCATTGTACTGCGAGGGTTCATTATTTTTAGACGCGAAGCAGCTCCTTGACTAGCCTGTGTAACGCTGTCCCTCCGTCCGCACCGCTCCCCTTGCCGCATGCGTTGAAGCAGTGCCAAGTAGCTCATGCCCTCCTAGCAGTGCGCGGTGACGTCTCTCTCCCTCGCCTGCCGCTCGCTTGCGGCGTGTCAGCTCTCTCGCTTCATTCTTTCCACTGCTTGCAACGCTCGTGCCCACTCTTCACATGGGCATCACCTCTTTCCATCTGTCGGCGAGAATAAGTTGCGAACTGGTGGGTGTGCGTGTCTCGAGAATTTCGCAACACCGACAATGTAGACAGCGTGTCGCTGCTTGCCGCGTGATCGTGCCGATGGGCGGGACGCCATCGCAGCATGCTTCCCACTAGTGTGCGCATACCTTTCCCGGCTGTCGCCGGCATTGCGAGACTTGGCGTAGTTGATCGCGTTAACGAATGGCGACGTCAATACCGACAAGGCACGAGCCAGGGAAACCAAACACAAGCGTTGGCAGTGAAAGACCCGCGACACCGATGAGATGCGAGTCAAAAACACCGATCGCGGTCGAGAATACAGACGGCGCATGGGTAACACCGACGAGACGCAAGCCAAGGAAGCCAAGCGTAAGCACCTCCAACACATCCTGCCTCCCGTGTCCTTGCGTTTCAAACAAATGTTTACTCGAGTGAACGCTATACGTAGTTGCACTTCGAACCGTTCTTCCAGCACCCGCGTCGATGTCTGTTTCAACCGGGTCAACGCCGTGCACACCGCTGCTGCTGCGCATCCGATCAGGGTTCACTTCGGAAAGATAGTCCTTAGTTTTTTAAGTGGGTGTGAATATTCTAAATTTCAAATATTTTTTATAGTGTTTGCTATTTGATTTACACTGGAATTTGACTATACAAAACTATTCGAACTTTGCAAAGACGAATATACTAGTCAATGGCAGCGCCTTAAGATTTTCGATATGCTTCACCCCAACACAATCGTGTTGTGGCGAACGTGCCTTTTAGGGTTTATTGTAGTCTCAAATGTATTGAATCGAGAAAACGGTGCTTCCAACATGAAGATGAAAGATGTGAAAAAGGTAGAGGCTCAGTTAATGCTGTTTTAGTCCTGAAGTTTGGGCAGGAGATCCGAAAACTCGGACATTGAAGAATTTTTTCAGCATCCAGAATTTTGGATGTTATTAAATACATTGATGTCTATAAAGCATATTAGGAGATTTAGACTGTAAGGGTGCACACTCATGTTTGCCACTTCAGTTGGGGTTTCACAGAATTTGAAGGAGTTGGAGAGACTGAGAAAAGAGCATCTTTGCCATTCATCTATAAAGTGTTGCTAGCAACACTTTGCTTCTACCAAGTTTTGTATATGAATTCAGTTGGGTCTTGGTATTGCTTTAGTCTTATTGAAATAGTTGTGAAACACCAACCTGCCCGTACTTCATCAGCCTAACTGAAAGAAACTTTCATGTTGCTCTCTCCTAAGAATATGCCCAAGAATTCTCTCCAACTTTAGTTTTTTCTGAAATTTCACTTCGAAGTAGGTGAAAAATATTCTATTTGATCTGCACTCACACTTCAATACTCGAATTTGCTTGGCACCGAAAATTTCACCATTTGCACAGCCCTAGTTTCTATGAATAGATTGAAAATTTAGGGCACCACCTTTTAGTTACTCTTCTGATGCTACAAGCACCAGAAAATACTGTTTTTGTAGAGTGCTGTTGGCTGTTTCCATGTGTGGGTAATCCATGCTCACAATCTTGGTTCTCAGTTGAGCTGGTTCGAGCACGATGTCTTAGCAGCCGTGAGCTGATTCCACGACCTACGTGTCAGCAGCCGAGTACCTTAGCCACTAGACCACCGCGGTGGGGCAGCGTGGCATAAGTCACATAGAGAATTTATAGTACAGTTTTTGCGACATTGTCATGTTGCTTCGCTAAACAACTGAGTGCGCTCAAATTTGCGTAAGCATTCTATTATATAACAGTTATTTTGAATGGTAATGCCTGGTCACTACTTTTCTAAAGCAGGACTTGATATGTATACTAATCAGTGCAGACGACTTTGTTTTCTTTAACGTCTACATGAAGCCATGAGATGCCATAAATATAGGTTTGACATCAGCCTGATGAATCCAACTTGTACATGAACACTTTCTTTTTTTTTTCTAAGGATATGGCTCGGACTTTTTTTTTTGCCCATTTGTATGAATGCTCACATTAATGAACATGAGAAAGCTTGCTATCTGCTATATTTTGACACATTTTTGGGGCACTCTGCCATGGTGTGAGCAAGTTTTTAGGCTGAGGCACATGCATAAATACAGCAGAAAATTGACAAGTTTTTCGAGTGCGACTATTAAAGTTATGTGGTAGTGGAAACGTACTGCAAGGACACTGATTATTCGTTAGTGAATGCCATGTTGTTTCCTCTGCACCTTTGGTTACGCTGGTCATCCATTGGGCCAATGTGTTGTTAAGCATCGTCTGTGCTACAAAGCACTGTTTTCTGAATCCTGCATTTATTTGCCAGTGTATATGTATCTTGCTGGCTTATCAAAAGATTGTAGCCATTCACACAAGAGCCAATGCGAAAGCTTTATTCTTTATCCTCTGCACACTTAACCACAATAGAAGCAAGTATAAAAATTCAATTATAATTGTGCCAGTGCATGCTTTCTTTTCTGATGCCATACATTGAGCAGTGCTACCACATGTATTTGGCTGAGGAATACACAGTGCCAAGGAAGTTTGGCGTAGATATGAAGTCATAGTCAAGATAGCAGACATGCAAAAATATTGCCAGTTGACCACACATTACAAGTCGAGAAATGGTGGCAGGGAGGACTTCTCCTGTGGTAGTGTAAATGCATGAAAACCATGCAAGGGAATAGCTGCAAAAGGTGTTTGGAGAAAATTGGTGCGAGTACTTCACAAGGTGTGTTCTCTCTTCAAAAAATGGTGGCACTACTTCGTGGAATCGATACACAGTGACCTGCATGTCGAAACCAAGTTTAGCACGTTTACTGCATGGTCGATTAAGTTTGCTAATTGCCTGTGGGTGTAAGCTTGACAAGCTTGCTTAAAGTCCAAGTCTGGGTGAAATTCCAAAAGAGAGTGTGATTTTTGGATTACTATCCTTTACTTGTGAAAGTCGATAGTACTTTTTGTCTGCTCTGCCCCCCTATGTCTGCTCTTGTTAGGTGTGGAATAAATATTAGGTATATTTGTTCCACACATTTATCCTGGTTCATACAGAAGTCATTGTTCGAGTGGGAAACGCGAGTGGGAATTGTAATGAATCTTAACAGGCTGTAATTGCTTAATGCGTGATGAAAGTGAACAAGGCATTATGCCGGCATGCTTCTCTAGTTTTTCCCATTAATGCCACAGGCTCTTCACTCTCAATATGTTAAGTAAACTCTTGGACAAACAAGCATATTTCCATATTTAGCTTCGTAGGATGAGTCCCTTAAAAAGCGTAAAATTCAGAACATGGTTTACAACGTAGCTGGATAGCAACGTATGCGAGGAAAATCAGTAGTAGGCCCAAATGTGCGGGCCACTGGGTGCTTGTAGTGGCGCTACAATCTGTACACATAGGCATGGAGTTATGACATCAACGCTAATATACAAGCGGAAGCACTACATACAAGCAGAAAGTTTCGCATTTCACAGTTTCAGTGCTCTTCCAAGTGAACAACGCATACTCTACTGTTCACTGCTTGAGTGACAAAGAGTTCTAGCTTGTTCCTACTAGTATTTTCCCAGGCACATTTGCTTCCCCAAACTTGGCTTGAGTAACTGCATCTTAAAACATGCAAAATAAGGTTTGTAAAATATAAACACTGCTCGTGTTGCACAGGACTTTCTTGCTATTTTCTGCTATGGTCAGCACATAGCTACTCTACTCGGCAGGTTATGCCATTATTTTTAGTGCTACAAACAAGGCACACAAAGTATTTTTTCCCCAAATTGCTTCAGATTTTTATTTCGTACAGCACCTGTGCTATTATTTGCATTTTTAAATCTGTGAAATCTGGCTGTCTTTTTGTGTAAAAGCTGATGTGTGTTTTGGTTAGCACTGTTGCGTAGTGAAAATTTTCCCAAGTGATTTTGTCTTATTTGCACAGCATTGTTGACACTGTAACTTCACTATCTACACATATTGAGGAAGTTAGACGTATTGCTTCCTTTGGAGCACAGCCCATATAACTTCCAAGCCCTCATGGTGTGCTCAAATTGTGCTGCATGAAGACACATAGGCCAAAGTGTACTATAGTATCTCTGCATAAAACTGCACCCTACTTCACTGTATAGAGTTAAGTTAGTTTTTTATGAAGCAATATTTCTCTTCTTCAAGCTTCTTCACAGCATCAGATGCCGGCTAAAAGAATACTTTTGTATACCTAATTTGTCCATAATTCGAACCACCGAGACATTGTGTTTTGCATGTGTTTAGAAATTTAATCCGAAGCAAGACCACTTTTAAGCACTGCACGCTTTGTTTTCTATTGTAATGTGAAAGACATTACCTTAAGAAAGCACTAATTAAAACATACAGTTGACTGTATGCAACTCTAACTATCATACTAAGAGTTCATATAAATTCTTTGGAAAAATGCTAAGTATTGCCATATCAGAGTTAAGCACATATGGCTTCTTATTCAGGAAGCACTGCACACAACTATGCAGTGTGAAGATAAAACCTTCAACAGCCAGTTAAGATGTGTTCCTGTATCAATTGTAAGGGTGACGTTGCAATACATTTTGCTTAATTGAACCATTAGAAATGCAGCAAATCACAGCAGTGCCATGAATTTCTATGCTGATTCCAAGTAGAAGGTAAAAGGCAACCTTATGTAACTGTAGACTTTGCAAGATGTGTCAACTGCAATAAGATCTCACTTGAGTGACACTCATGCATTCCGTAAATGGCAAATTCAAAAACAGCTTTCTAGAGCATATATATATAATGCTGCATGCCTACACTGATGAGCACACCCTTTTGTATTTGCACAAGTTTCACATCATTTGGCCTGCTGTTCAGAGTATAGAATAGATTGCATTGTACAATGCCTATACAATTGTGCTATAGAAGTACCTATTGTACACACCAAACAGTGTAGGGCGAGAAAATACTCTTCGTTTTTCTCAGCAGAAAATTACAAGCACAGCATTCTGACAACAATGATTATGGTGTGCATGTTTGCAAAAAAGCTACAGCCTTTGTCAAGAGTTTCAAAGGTAATGTGCCTGAATAAACCTGCAGCTGGGCTGTGTACTGGGGCCTGCGTATGATCTTTGTTACTCCACGAATTATTTCACTCTTTCCCAAACTTTTCACATGCCAAAGGAGCACTGCAACAGAGAACGATGCCAAACTAACACATGCCGAGTGGCTTTGAAACTTTTGATGAAAACTGTGCTAACATCTATGCATTAAGCACAGGCTTTATTTTATACATTTGTGCTTGAGCATGGCAGCCTGCCTGGTTGTCGAAATTCAGCAATGGTTACCAAGACCAGTGCTGACAGGCTGTTCCAATGTACGAAACACTCTGTAAAAACGTGTATGAAAGATGTAATGACCCAAAGAAAGTGCTCACCCGCAAGTAACGAGACAGCAATGTTCTATTTACAGCACATCACAATACTTGCAAAACATGCATGTGCTGTAGGCCTTGCATCAAAAATGAGGCACGTGAGATTAGTAATATTTGGCATTTGAGATTGGGCTGCAAACATCTGGTGTGCCTCAAGTAATGAAGCTCTCACCACAGTTTAATGTATGTACTGATTAAGATTAGTCCTTTGGGTTACACTACTTTTACATAGGTTCTAATGACTAGCAACTTGAAGCTATACAGCATGCTTATCGGTATGTTGGGCAAAATGCAGAAAGTGGGGCCGATACAGAAAATCTTCAATTCATGCAAAATTCTCAACAGAGATCACATCAGAAGTAGACAAGGGAGTGAGATGAAGGTTATTTTTGGGAAACTTGCTAAACATGAAGAGGAACAACTTTTTAGAGGACTGGAAAATTTCAAAGGCCTTTTCGTGTATCACGGACACAAAGTTGTACAACAAGTGCCTGTTGGTAGTTCTGCATCTATTTGAAACCGAAAAAAAAAAAAACGTGATAACAAACTTTCAGAAAAGTATAGGTGCGCAAAATGATTATTACATCAACGCCCTGCCTCTCTGGCCAGCCTATAAGTTGAGCCTTAGCAAAATCGCAACAAGCCACTCGCATAAACAGTAACATGATTGCACACTAGCTTGTCTTGGGTACAAGAATGCGCTATCATTTTCAAAGCTGAACAACAAGCATGTTATGAAAATCCTGTCGTGGAGACCAGTGACAGTTTTCATTACTCGCATCAGTGGCTGCGAAACTTGCAGTGAAGATTGCACACTGTGGTCTGCAAACCTTCAAAAGCAACCACTCGTTACGTTTAGTGACTCCTTTAATGTACCCTCCAAAATGTCGTTTCCTTTCTCAACTACCATATACATCTAACTATAAAGGAAATTCTAGGCTCAAAGTGCCTTGTATGATGGTAGAAAGGAGGTGAAACAGTCGGCAAAGTTCTGTGAAAGAGATGAACGCATGAGATTTTATCATGGCTGGGCCTTTCAATGGGAAGGATTATGAAGTGCTGCTCTGGATACTTTGCCTGCTTTTCTTATGCATAGCCATGTATTATGCATAGCCATTACCTCTTATCAATATTGCCAAGTGTCTGGAACAGTACATGTATATACATGTGCTTAAAAACATTGCTGGTCTCACTTAACAGGGCTTGTATGACACACCAGATTAGCTCACTGATGAAATTGTGCCTGCCATGCATGAACTTCCTCTAAGGCAAAACAATTAACATTTTTAATTTACATGCGGACAACAAAAAATTCTACACCAAATTCAACAACTTGCACCACCTAGCTTGCTACTTGTGCTACTAACTGGCATCTGTTTCTGGTCGTTTAATAATAATAAATTGCCCAAGCATTACTTGATATGGCAAAGTTCTCTCAAAACAGCCCTTGTTTAAAGCTAAATGACCCAAAGCATGAAACAGTATGACAGCGCAGGGTTGGCAGTAAAGCGCCTTTTATAAACCTAGCACAGCCATCACAGGCAACAACATTTGTGCTGAGTACAGAGAGTTGGCAAAATGTTATCAGCATTTCCCTGGTGCTACTTTCTGCAAATGTGAAGAGCACTTTTGCAGAGTGTGTTTGTGTTCTGCTTCCACTGTTGAATGACTATCAAAGTATGCAAACTTGTTAGGGCTTGTGAAAATTGCACATACTATTAGCATTCCTGTAATATGTTAAACCTTCTGTAGTACTCCTGGTACTCTGAAAAACCTCCAGTGCAATAACGTGACCTATTAAAAATTTATATAGCATGCCTTGGCACTGAGATTACGATAACGTACTCACTATATGGCTTGGAACCAAATACCAAGACATGGACAAAGATAATTGGACACTTCAGTGATAAGCAAAAGAGCATTTACAATGCGAGTTATGAGTTGAAAATTCACAAGCCGTCTTCCTTTGTGTACTGACATGTCCAACCCAGAATTGCACATACATTCTGTTTTATTTGCCTTACCCACAATTTCTCTTGAGGTCGTTACATCGCACAACTGACAAGCTCAATTACAAACCACACTCATGTGCACATGTCTCAAAGTATCCTAACAAATGAAATTCTGAAAGGTGTGTGTGCTGTGGAAGAAACTGCGAGCATCGTCAACTAATGCTGAGAGTCCCGCAAAAGTTGGAGGAAGTGAATGCCACAAGCAATCATTCTACATTGTCTAGCCTTTGGAAAGTTTTAGATAACAAAAAAACAACCAAGCTGTAATAACAGATGGAGTAAGGGCCGCCCAGCTTTTGTTCAAGTGGCAGAGGCCTCACGAGGAGGCTGTCGGTGTGAGAAGGACGCAACACTCGGTGCCTGGGTATGGTGGCAGGTTGAGCTCGTACTTTGCAGCCAATGCAGGCGGCACAAAGCGGCCACCTAGCCAGTGCCACCGACCTTTGAAGTTGCGGCTGCACAATTTCGGTGCTGTCAGAGACACCAAGCACTCCGGCTGCAGAGCTTCTGCGTCGCCTCCATTCTCCACGTCCCAGCCTAATTGCCAAATCAAAAGATGTGATAATTATCGTTACAAATTAGCACCATAATGCAATAGTCAAGGCAGACATACACTAAAATGATGCTCACAGATATAGTGAACATAAGAAATCAAATGCAAAATATTTATTGATATTGGCCTATAGCTGCACCAATATCAGCCGCAGACCCGGTAGCAACATACGAGCTTAAAAGCGGCCGTTGACAAGTTGGTGTACTGTCATGTATCATTTTAAAGGGGTACTGGCGCAAAATTTCGGGGCCAAGATAGCCTGCGAAGTCGATTCTCGTGAACATTCATATATCATATGCAAGATATCAACAACGAATATAGCTTGGAAGGTATTTTAAATTAATTTTGAAGTTTGCGTGAGCGACCGACTCCATAGACATCCTCGGAGGTGACCTCGAGGGGACCCCCTACTTCCCTCACGTCACCACGCTGCGGTCAACAAAACAAGTTATGATGACGTCATAGCCGCAATTTTTCTTTTGCTGCGTTAGTTCCCGAAGTCTATATTTCTCAGCAGCTGGTTGCGAGTGCGTGGCCGTGGCGCACACTTAGATAGTTCTGTGTTTGGCGACATTCCAGTGCCATTTCCCATTCAAAAGTAATTCTTGATGCAGATCGTGCGGAAGTGCGTCACAGTTCTGTGTGCTGACGTGGTCAAGAGTTGCACACTCTAGGTGGCGACAGTTGCACCCAGTTTTTGTAACTCTCTCAAACCGAAACTGAAACTGATCGATATTGAGGGGCCTGTAATTAATTATCTATCCCGTGCTGCAGCAAACCATATGTCGTATCATGACTAACAGCCCTACAGCAACGCATTGCAGCAGAAAAATGCAAGGCCATATTTTTTGTGTCAGTACCCCTTTAATACGTAGAGTTCTTGGAACTAGCGAAAAGTAATTTACAGGGACTTTCTGCAAATATCGAGTTTAAGTTCTCTTGCATTTCCTTGTCTGCAAAGCACTCTTGCATTGCAGACAAGAAAATGCAAGTTTTTTTTTTTTGACCTCCCATTATTCTGAATGTGTGTGCCAGCCATTGTTTGAAGAGGCAACGATTTTCGCGTCCAAGCCTAACAAAGGCACTAGAATCATAATTAAGAATCAAAATAATCACTCGAGGCAGCTGCGTTAGTAAACTGTCTGTAGTCTTGTCAGAAAAAGAATTGGTGATTTGAATTCTCCAGCACGTGGTGTTCCAGAGTGATCACTTAGTTTCTTGCAGCCTCTTCGCTTTGTTTGGCCTGTTTACTTGGATAAGCATGTGGTCTTATCTTTTTCGTTTTCTGTAGCCCATATATAGGTGCGTCTTAGTAATAATAAATAAGTTGAAAGTGTGCGCTGGTCTAGTCTTTTTCTGTGTGTTGTGCAAAATGTCTTGCGCTGAGCAGTTTAATAACTAGGTTGTGCAACTGCTGGTATGGAGCATTTTTTTTTTTCTTTCTCTCTTACAAGCCATAATATGTGTACTCTATATTCCCTTCAGGGGTCGTGCGTAATAATATAAAATTTGGATGTGCATCACGCACTATGTGTTTCTTCAAATGCCGTGAAACGCAATGTGTACATTCGTGCAGGCTTTCTGAGTGGACAATTGACGATCATTTAACTGCATCAAGCTGCATATTGCTGCAGGGGATCATTTTGCTTAAAGGGGCCCTGAAACACTTTTTCGAGTAATCATGGAATGAATTCACTGGAAAAGCTTATTGCCTCACGAATTCAACACCATAAGAATTTTAAGAATCCAGCTACCCCGGGACGTTCTACAAAGACTGAGGGTCCCACCCTTACTGAAGCACATGCATCCGCAAGTACACCAAGAAAGAAGAACGGCGAGAGCCACGGCCCTCACAAAAGGTCACGCCAACGATCCGCGCGCGTACTACATGGACGTGGCGAAGTATCCCCACCGGCCAAACACGTACGCAGCAGCAGTCATCGCAGCAGACACTGGAGTACTCACAACGTCGGGAAGCATACGGTGCAAGTCGCCCACGCAAGCCGAGGAGTTTGCAATCGCACTGGCACTAGCGATCCCGGATTGCCGCACGGTCCTCAGCAACTCGAAGACGGCAATAGCCAACTTTGCTACAAACAACGTCCATGGAACCACTGCAAGAGTATGTTCAACTATAGCAAGACCAGAAACCAACATTACCGTCAAGTGGTTCCCTGCGCACGCCAGGGAGCTGGACGTGGGCCCGAACCGCAACGAGGAGGCAGATACAGAGGCACACGCGCTAACTAGCCGCGGGTCTCTGTCAACGCATTCCTCGGAGCCGCAACGAGCCGATGCCAAAGACGGAGAGTATTTTATCACAACCTACGCCGACGTTCTGCAGTGGTACAGAACGAGCAGACGCCGCTACCCACCGCCTCACCGAGACCTACAACGCAGAGAAGCAGCCACACTACGGCAGTTGCAAGTACAAGCCATATGGACCCCCGTCTGGGCAAAGCACGTTTGCCCGGAGGTTTACACCACTGATGTATGCCAACACTGCAAGAAGGCGCGAGCCACCCAGAGACACCTCCTCTGGGACTGTGCACCACCGCCGGGTAACCAAGAAGTAATGCCAACTGCCATAAGCAGCAAAATCATCAGCCGAGAGCCAAGCAACCAAAAAGACGTGGTCCAGCACGTGCTTAGCATTCTGGAACGCCAGCGGCCAAAAGCGGCGCCCCCACGGGTTTGACGCGAGTAGGTGGCTGCTCCGGGACGTCCGAGCACGCTAGTGTCTCGCTTTAATCCCCCTACCCCTTTCCCCTTTATGCCGGATCGTCAATAAAGTTGTTTCACTCACTCACTCAGAATCCGTTCAGTGCGAGTGGAGTTAGAAAGGTTTGTCGCATGCTGCAATTGCATTCTCTCTTCTCTCGTCCCGACGAAAGCGCTGGAATCTAAGTAGGGAGGAACGGCAGGGCCACAAAATAAACGTAACGCGTGCTTCGCGACTTTTAGCACTTTTTTCTTTCGTTGAATGCGCGGCTTTTTCAGTGTGATCACGTGCGCACGCGTGGACAATTAGCGGCCTCCCGCGGCGATTTCTGTAACAAACGAGCACTCCATGTTCAAATCAGCCAAAGATGGGTCGTTGACGTGTGATATTTTGGCATATAACGTGATTTGTCGAGAGACGAGAAAGCAATTTTCAGCTCGCTTTGATAATTTATTGTAAATTCCAGGCTGCCTGCTGTGCTATAATATTTGGCTATCGTGTTGTTGGGAGCCTCTACTGCCGATCGGCAGCGTTTTCTGACCACGCTCGAAAAGTGTTGCAGGGCCCCTTTAAGGCACTACCATGTTGGATGACCGTTCGACGTGCTGCGTTCCAGCAGCAATGTCAAGAGTATTTTTTAGGGGCGAAGCTCGTAAAGGCATGGGTCTGTACATCCTCTGAAGTATGTAGTTGTAGTAGTAGTAGGTAGCCACCTCTAGTTTAGTTCTTGCAGTGTTCACTATATTGCGGTAGCTGATGTGAGATGTTATAAAACTAGATGGCGGTACGTGTAGTTGGTAATGAAAGATGCGAGATGTTATAATAGGAATGATGTCACATATAGAGTGTGTCATTGGTGGAAGGCAATCGTTCGATTTAGTGCAGCAACGAACGCTAGGGGTAGTGTTGTAATAAAATTCGTTCGCTGTTGGCGCACCGTGAAGCTGGGTGACACCGCTACCAAGATCCTGTTGTACAATAGCGGGAGGCCCAAGCGGCACAGCATACACACACAGAATTTTTCACGTCTTCAAATGACTCGACGAATTACACGGAAGATTCACGGTTTACCAGTGATTTCCTCTGGAGCTTCGCCCACTCATTATCATTTACCCCCGTGGATATGCTATGATTTTTTTCTTACGGTCAAAATGAGTAAACAAAGCAACAACAAAAAAACTTGCAGGCACTTTGGGCCTAATATTTCATCCTTTTTATGCAAGAGTAGAAGCTAACTGATGTCAGGATAATTAAATATTTAATTACAGGCTAGCTAAAATTAAATACTGAAACTCACACAAAACAAACACCACATTTCTTCATTTAGTTTTTGAAATTTAATACAAAGTGCCTTGGAAGCTTGCAATTCGAATATGACTCATTTTCAGACACTGCATCGTAATCTGCACCTGAAAAGGATATATATATATATATATATATATATATACATTTATTCACTGCATCTGTTGCTTTGCCTGACTAGGTACTGTTGGCTCACGTGTCAGGTTTTTATATTTTAGGTTTTATTATGACACAAGCTTTTAGGTATAACGTGGCAACAGAAAGCGCAAGACCGAATTGATTGGCAAAACATGGAAAAGGCCTTTGCCGTGCAGTGGGCGTAGTTAGGTTGATGATTATGATGACAAAGATGCATCAAAATCTGAAAAGCATGGCACCACATCACGTACTACCGCAATGATTAAAGAAGATTTGGACAAAAGTGCTTCTAGCAAACGTCTGCTAGGTGATCAAAGCACATGGCACACATATCCTAGAGCGACCGTACTCACCCGAGGGAATATCAATGCTGGCCACTGGGATCTTCACCTTCTTGATCTTGTCGAGCACGTCTGCGAATTCTGGCCGCACAGGAGGCTTGAAGCTAAACCCAAACAGGGCATCCACAACTACATTGTAGGAGTCTGCAATCAGTTGCGAGTCTGGCAGGAAGGACAAAAACGGCACCTCCATCTCTTGGCACTGCTTAGTCAGGTTTTGGAACAGTGGCTTGTTGGACTGCTTTGGGTAGAACACTGATGGTTCATAACCCTGCACAAGAAATGACAGAAAAGAGAGTGTTAGCCTGAATTGTTTACATGACCAAGATTCAGCACAAACTATGTCCAAACTATATGCTTGCCCATACTTTCATTGCACCATGTTTGTGGTTATTATTAAGAATGTTGTGCCTTGGAGATTCTAGCATGCAGTGCAACACCCCCATTGTTTGATACATGGTTGCTACACACAGAAGCAGAAATGGTCGACTACTGTAATGGTACCGTATTTTGAACTGTACTACACCCTTCTCAATTTGTCTCTCTTGAAGTCCACCAGATATTCCTAAATAAAAAATCAAACAGCAATGTTGCTGACAATGTCTAGGAGACATTTTTACATAGTAATATTAGGCACTTTCATTTTAAATGTTGCTTCAGGGGAACGGATAGCTGCTGCATTGGAGTATTATAAATTAAATCTAACTACATTGTTTCTTTGATGATCAGTGAATAATTAAACTTTTGCATGCACAACATAAAGACGCTAAAGAAAGGTTCACAAGGACAAGGTCCTGATCTGGTCCTTGTGAACCTTTCGTTTATCTCTGTGTTGTGATTGCAAAAGTTTAAATATGCAGTCAAACCAACTAGCCTGCCTTTCCTTATTATTGCAGACCAGTGAAACCTCGGTATTGAGCGCATACTTGTATTCTGTCTGACAAAATGTGTTCAACACAGTGAGAAATCAAACTTTCAGGACTCTGGGAATACTGCAGCTTAACATAATTCAAGGAACATATTCCTTTGCACTGCGGTAAATGAAGTGTTCTTTTATCTGAACAAAGCAAGAGAGAGAAAGCTCACAAAAAGTTTGAGGTGCCTGGCACACACGAGCCCGTCTCCACCGTTGTTGCCGGGTCCGCAGCAGACAAGAACAGTGGCACCTTTGGTCATGGTCGCCTTGGGGTAGGACTTCGCTACCGCAGTGGCTACACTGAGACCAGCCAGCTCCATGAGCTGGTCCAAACTGTATGCATACTCCGAGAAGAGCTCCTGGTCGATCTTGATGGCCTCCTCCTGGCTGCAAGAGAACATATGTGTGTGCATGCATATATGTATCGGACAGCACGCTCGAATGAGCCACAATGGTAATCAGGAATCACGGGGCTCCCTTTTATGAAAGAGCAGGTACAGAGCATACTCGCAACCACAGTAACAGAAGTCGGAAAGTTGTACACATGATGTTGGAGTCATAGTAATCTGACTTTCATGGTGTTCTAGCAGAGAAAACAGATATGTGCACACTACAATGTGAACGTATAAGAAATGTGTAGCTGTAGTTTTACAAAAATCACAATATTTCAACAAGCTCATGCACCAAACAGAAAGTAATAAAGCTGAGAGTAATCTCTTGGGTCTCTCTGGAATAGAAAGGGTCAATGTTAACAGAAAATAAAAAAAATGCACAAGCAAGTACCTGTCCTGTTTGGGTGGCTAACATGCACAGCTGACTCGAAAGTGGTATATTATGGCATTTTGAGGACAATGATATGTAATTAAAGATATTATGAGACGTGGTCTCATAATATTTACTATTATATTTAGCGAAAGTGATAGCTCTCGCACAGGCAACTCAAAGTGGCCTCGCAGAATAGCGCGAGAATGCCAAGAGCGCCACGAGCCACCCGAGTGCAATACAAAATGTCCCGCCGAAGCGTGCTTTCCCGCATAACGAGTTATGATGCGGCGAAGCCGAACAAGAAGCAGTGCTCGCCGCTTCTGAGGGAGGCGAGATCGCGGCGCGCGGAGCCCAGTCGAAAGGCAGAAACTAAAACGGCGTGCGCTTCACTACCAGGTGCCACAATTCGGATGAGCCAGAATGTGGAAAGTCCGCGCGCACTACGGCAGATAGCAGCGCGGCGATGAACCGCGCGTTCTCCGTATACCTGACGTATCGCATCCTCTCCAAGTACTGGGCTATGTTGGCGTCGGCGACGATGTGCGGCTCGGATCGGTCCACGCTGACACTCTTGGGACGGCGTCGGAAGGAGAAGCGCATCGGCTTCTTCTCGCTTTTCTCCATGATCGCCGGTTCGAGCTGAGCGAGTTCGGGGACACGAGGTGGCAGACGGCGACCGTTGGACGGGAGGCCTGGAAGAAAGCTGCCGGACACTGCAGCAGCGAGACTGCCGCTCTTCCCACGCACGCTGAGAGCGTCGTTGTCCACCACGTCGCCACACCCACGCACACGCCTGCACCGCACGCTGGGTCGGTCGCTGCTACCGTTCACACGGAGGCGCGACTTCGGCAGCCTCGCCTCCCCAGACGTCGCCCACACCGCGGTCGCTTCATTCTCCCTTCATCCCACAGAGCTGTGACACCTTGGGTCCCCTTTCTTCTAGCTCGGGGCGAGGCAGCCGGCGGCCACGCAGGAACCGTCGCCGATCTCGTCTTCTGCGACCCTTACGCGGCGGCGTCTCGGCCCGAGAGGAGGAGTTGGGCGTGGTGTTGAAATTGGGGAGATTGGGGAAAACGAAAGGAATGGGTTTTCTTCTAGGAGCGGGAAGGCGCGACGGGCGAAACAACTCGTAAAACAGAGCACGACCGCTGGCGGCGCGCCGCCACGACTACTGCTACTAGTGCCGCTGAGAAAAGTGCCAGGAGGCGATGTTTCTCGGGAAGGGCGGGAAAGTGGGAGAATGGGACGAAGAGGGAAGCAGCCTCGGCTCATCTGCGCGCGCGCTTCTCTTGCGAAACCTCGGCGGAACTGCTGCTGCTGGTAGAGAGCGGTCCACGCACGCTCATTAATCTCCAGCCGGCAATGCGCCCAAAATAAATAAAGAGTCGGAGAACGCGAAAGGGGACCGTTGGGAAGCAAAAACCGCCGCGACAACCGAGAACGCGAAAGCCAAGCGAGCGCGTCTCGCAAACTTAATTAGGCGAACAAGCTACGCGACGGAACCTTTATTTTTAACGAGTGTCCTGGTCGCCAGCACTGTTGTTTCAACATTCAATACGGAGGCTGCTCTTGCGAAGGTATCAGGGCGAATAGGGGCGCCGAAGTCTTTCGGGCAGTACACGGTTTCGCAGATTAGTTCGGTCAGAATGGTCTGCATGCTGGGCCACCGTACATACTCCCTAGCGGCATCCTTTTGGGAGCTGAATTTTTCCCAAGGTGCACAGTCTGGACTATTTTAGAAACAATGGCGAACCAAGCGCTGCTCAAATCTGACGAAAAGAGGTGTAAGAATGAAGGTATATACACCCCCCCCCCCTCGAATAAGATAGCTCGTCACATTGGAGGGGGGATACAATTTCTAATTGTATCCTTTCTATTGTTGCGTTTCTATTGTTTCTATTGTTGCGTTTCAACAATTTCTATTGTTGCGTTTTCTGCTGGCACAATGGGAAATAAGATGAGTGTCTTTATTCTTTGACGCAGCTCCCGATTAAATGAAAACGAAGGCGCCCAAAATGCCGAAAGTTAACCGCGGTATAAACAGTGCCCACCACTACGTCGGCGCACCGCCAGGTGACGTCGGTTCAAACTACTCGGCACTTTTATTTGCCTGCGCAAATCGAGTAAAACAGACAGAGTCAAAAGGCAAGCGTCGTCGTTTCACGAGGCGTAGTTGCATGTAGCAACTGTAGGAACGATCCGTTAAAGCACCGCTGCGCCCCCACTCTGCGAGCGCGTGCGCCACGGTGGCGCCACCGAGCGTCGGCGGCTGGCGCAACCTGCGGGCTGCCGGCGCGCGCCAATCGATCGCGCGCTACCGCCACCGTTCCGGAAAAGGACAACGGTGAGGCGCCAGCCGACATATCGGCCGCGAAGGCACCCCTTTCTCTGCTTCTTCAAAATCGACTCAGCTCCGCCTCGCAGAGCTGAGAAATATACGCGCATCCTTTTCGCCGGGTTATTTCCGAAGGTGCGCCGGCAGAAATGTGAGAGAACGGCCCTCGCGGGAATTCGTCACACAGATGTTGCATGGTGCCAACAAACATTTTCCTTAAGATCTGTGATGAAAAATTGTGTAAGAAATATCCAACGTTCGCTCATATTTTCACTTCTCTCACGCGCGAAATTACAGTGGAGCTAAGCCCAACTTTCGAGTCCTCTAAATATCTCAAAGTGTCATGGGACATTAAGATGTAAAAGAATTTTAAAAGTAGAAATAAATTTGCGCACATATCCCTTTTATATGTACTATGTTGAAACAGAGAAAGGCCATTGTGAATGAAAAAGCAGACGAACACCGGTTCCACAGTGCCGCGAAGAGCCCGAAAAGCAGCCACTCGCACAGGGCGGTCGTCATCCGCCGAGCGCAAAACGTCGGGGCGCATTTTTACGTGTCGTTCTCGCGGGTTATAAGGTGAGCCCGTGCGGCGGCAGCCTTTCCGAATCGGTGGCTACAAGCGCTCTCGGCGGGCGCTCGATCCAAACAGCAACAAGAAGACGACCAACAGGGGCCGAAACGGCAGACAAGCAAAGAACGATCCTGGGATCAAGCCCGGGAGAAAAGGAGCTCCGCGCACATCCTCTCTTCCTTTTTCTTGCAGAGGATGTCGACAGCGCCGGGAGGATGGGGCGTCGATGTGATGCGCCTCCGCACCACCTATGCGACGGGGCAACGGACGAGACCGCGAAGGCCATAGAAATGAGCTCGTCTGAAGCACGGGCGGGGAGCCACTGTTCTCGCGGGAGAAGGGTAGCGTATACCGCGCTCTACGACCGGGAGGAGCGACTATAAGCCAGCGGTCGTGTAGGGCTGCAATAAATCTCTCTAAGTGGCGCCCTGCGTTGGAGTCGTAGTTTTTCGGAGTGCGGCTTGCGAACACGAACACTTGCGCGCGCGAGACATAGGAGAGGGGTGAACGAACGAGAGAACGAGTAATTAGAGATTTTCGTCGCATTCACGAGCCCACCCGATTTACCCGGAATAATTACTGCACTAAATACGTGGAACTGCGCAAGTGATAAGAGAAGCACAGAGAAGATGACTGATTGATATGTGGGGTTTAACGTCCCAAAACCGCCATATGATTACGAGAGACGGCGTATAGTGAAGGACTCCGGAAATTTCCACCACCTGGGGTTCTTTAACGTGCACCGAAATCTGAGCACACGGGCCTACAGCATTCTCGCCTCCATCGAAGCGAAAAAAAAAAACAGTGCGTTAGTTATTTTTTTATCCGTTTGTTTTCTCACTCTCACGACTTGAAATACAACAAAATGTGCCAACAAACCAAAACTGCTACGAGAACGACTGAACTGCTTGACGAATGGATCGACCCCTGATTTCTAGCAGAAATGATCTGAGGCGCGCAAAGGGTGCGATTGATTCCATCACGTACGCAACGAAATGACGCGTGACCTTTCGCTTGAAGCGTAGGTCTTGTACTTCGCGCTCTTTCACGCATTCAAGTGCTGCCGAAAGGCCAGCGGAGTTCTCCAGGTGAGATTGGTTATTTATATTAACGCTTCACTGACGCGGCGCGGCGGCGGTACACAGTCTCGGTCCTCAGCCATTTTGAAAGTTTGGTCACCAAGAATTAGCCGCCCACGCATGTGCATGCGTGGGCATCTGTAGCTAGCCGTGCATGGAACGGAGACTGCGGCTACAGTACAAGTGCCGCATTAATGGGACAGCGAGAAAGAGAAAGCCTTTTTGTCGAGACGAGCAGCTTGACGGATTACGCTCGCCTGAAAGAGTAAATTGTGCATAAAGGTTCTGTATAGAATTCTAATGAAAAAAAAAGTAAAATTTTACAGAGTATGCAGTGCTTGTAGCCTCGTTTTAGATTTGACGCACACGAAGAAAATTTGCGGCTCACGCTTGATGCTGATATACGTCAATGGTCGACACCCGCGGTTCTTCTGTTAAATCATTATTCGTTAGCGCGTAGCTGTTAATTGACTCATTAGCGCCGGTGAAAACCAGTTTACATAATTTATGTGATTAGTTCAAGGCGCACCAAAGGCAGCCCGGTTTGAGACATGAAATGAACGAAGCAGTCGTATCACCCACCAACAGCAGCAGAAGGCTTCGATAATCAACCTCGTGAGGTGAAAGCCATACAGAGACAGTGTGGCAACATACAATATTGCTACAAAGAAACACTCTCTCTTTTCTTTATTTTGCGCCGCCGATAGCGCTACGCCACAGAGGAGATAGTCCAAGTTTCGGACGTTCCTCTTCAAGCTAGAAGACGTCCTGCACTTTAGACGCCTTTTGAAACCCATGTGGTCATCAAATATAAAAATACACTATTTTATCCGTACATTGCGAATCGACGCTTTACAGCATTATTATCGAGCCGATAGTTACGTAATAATGAAATTAAAACAAAAACACTTTCTTTAAGCACTTCCTCAAACACACGCACTGCACGCGGCTTGACTTTGCTTAATAGCATTGGGATTATTTTCTAGCGTACTGCTATTAATAACGCTTCGTACGGGATATATATATATATATATATATATATATATATATATATATATATATATATATATATATATATATATATATATATATATATATATATATATATATATATAGTCTAATGCATTTCTTTCTCTTCCCGAGGTGCCCCATGCGATCACTTGTGTCCTTTATAGCGTTGACGTTGTCCCTGTATGACCAGATCGAATTTTCCTGTTTGCATGACTCTAGAAATGTCTTCACTCTTAAATTGACCGCACGCCGCATGCCCATAGGCTGTGAGCTCAGTCCAATGAAATCAGCTTGTCTTCTCATACATTACGCCAATCCCAGCTGCTGCGTTCTTTCACCAGCACCACGCGACCGCCGCCTGCGGCCAGCATACGTGCAAACTTATCACTGCACGAAGCGGCAAAATGGTCATAAAATAAGCAAGTGCCCGAACGATTTCGTTGGAAAACCATGTCACGCGTTGGTTTATTAAGGCGAAAGCCTTACATGCCTCATTATGCGCGAAAGCTGACCTTCGGCGGCGTCAACACGAGCGATGGCAACGATCACCATCCCGTAATGACGTCACAGACGGCCATAATAATGAAGTCATCATGACGTCACATGATGACGTCATCTAATGAAGTCCTCGCTTGGTCAAAGGTGGGCTGATCACGGAGGCAGCGCAAAACGAAGCGAGTTGCAGAAAGCTCGCAACGCCTCCGATCCTGGAGGCCATGGAGAGTCACGTTAGGTGCAGAAAGCTTTGGGAGGCGGCAGGGAAAGATGTACACATCAAAATATATGCTTTGGCCTATTCGAGTCGTCTTAGGCGAAGGCGTGAGAAACCCCGTGCGTTTTTCAATATGCCGTTCATCATCTACGTGTCACGTGCTTAGCAAAACGGTTCTAGGACCCTTTCAAGACCTTTCGGTAAAGCGCTAAATAAACATTATCCTTGGTCAGCTTCATTATTTGGCATCTTGTTTGCTGTTGGATTACTTCACCTGAAGCAAGAAAACGAGATATGATGCAAAGTTCTTGCTTCCCACAACCCTCCTCCCTCGCAACCACACGATATTGGCTATTCCCCCACCCCCCTTTTTTTTTTCCCTGACACATAAGCACGGTGCACATAAGTAACATGACTGCAGGTTTCAAATCAGCAAGGCAAAGAACGTCAGCGCTGTAGTGTCCGCGGACAAGCTACCACTGATGCAGCTAATGGAGCGCAATTACACAGAAAGATCTTCAACCTCTTAACTGCTGCTTATTTTTACAGCGCTTGCATCGCTTGATCCTGTCATCTTGTCATATTTATTTATAAGCTGTCAAACTGTCTACCCTAACGCCATGATGACCTCTATCAATCTAGGGGGTGTTGATTCAATCCTGGCCACGACGTAGGTGTTCTGTGCCACGACGGTCGCACTTCGACGGATGCGAAATTAACTTGGAGGCCAGTGAATTCCGGAACCCTCCACTGCGGCGTCCCTCATAATCATATCGTGCTTCAGGGACGTAAGACCCCACATATTATTATTTGACATATGTATAAAAGGCAACACATTGCTAACAGGCATATCCAAGACTCGGTAATTGCGAAGCGACATGTAACGACATATACCACAATCCGAATGGCAGGAGCAAAGCGCTGCACAGTGTACATCATTACCTTAAGCATTAACGCACAAAGGAATAATATAATCATAACAATTCCTATCAACTTTACTTGTTCTATATCTTATGCACTCACGTGCACGGAAAATCCCGTAACAGTTCCATAATAGTTATGTTTGAGGCTACTAAATGGATGCAAAATTAACATGCCTGGAGTGTCTTCCTGCGTGACTATCACGTAACTGCAATCGCCAAATAGAAGAAAATGCAATGAGAACAGCACGTGAAGAAGCGCGGAACCTCGAACCACGCAGTACCACGAAAAAAAAAAAAACAGTTTTCTTTATGGAAGTAATCTTACAATGCGCGGCAATATCTTTGCACTCTTCTTCAATCTGTCATGTACCGCATGCTAAGTTCATGAATAAAGCAAAATGTATTAAACCTATTTACCTCAGAAACTTCACTTTCGTGCTCATCTTTCGAACGGCGTTCAAGCTTACAGCAAACCGGCAGGAATGTTTCCCAAGTTGAAAAGAGGCTACAAGCTGCACACTTTTGAAGATGCTCAGGCGCATTTAGCAGCTTGCCACCTTGCTAAGCCGTTCTCAAATTGAACGCTTGCCTCAATGATTGCCGACCTTCAACTAATAAACTTTGTTGCCAGTGAAAATTTACGAACGCAACAACTGAAAACAAGCAACGAAACGCCAAAACAGCGAAACGCCGAAAACAGTTTCGGCAGCACACCGAGCGACAGCAGCGATTAGGGCGGTGACCAAGGTGACTATACTTTTCTTTAAAAAGTGTGTGAAAAACGCTATGTTGTATTTGAACTTTTAAAACGTTTTTTATCAAATAAAATTCAACACGACGTAACATAGTTTATTAAAAAAATTATACCTGTTTTTTTATTTAGGCCACGATGACTACGGTCAATGCGAGACCAATCCGTAGCACAAAGTGATGCCAAAATGTTTTTCGCCCTTTTTCGCATTCGTAACATTGAGGCGATTTGAGGTGAGTTAACTGCATTGTAAACATTGCATTGCTTATGGTAAGAGCATGACAGAACCCTGAACTGTTGGCACGTTCAAAGCCGTGTGCCTCTTTAATTTGAATGTCACGATCGATCGAGTACTGTCTGGTCTATGTGCCGGCATTCAGGGCAGAGTGCGATACATGCGACTTGGGAACGCTTTTTACCATTTGCATATTCTACTATGCGTGACTAGGGAGTGTTGTAGGCGCTTTATGTTGTCGTACTCGTTGATTTCCATTAGGGGTTTTGGTTTCGGATTGTTATTCACTATTGCCGTCTTGAGAAGTCTATCGCGACTTCTGAGCACGGTGATTGAACGACGGAGGGCGCGCATCGGGCAGTGGCCCAAGGTGGCACTTCCTTCCCCCTTTTTCAGATTCGGACATTGCTGTCGCGCGCTTCTCGAAATGGAGTCCGAACAGCTGGAGAAACTTCGCCAGTCGCAGCTCAAGGGCCTGCGGTCCTGCGACGCGAAGATTGAGCGATGGGCCCAATTCGAGCGCGATTACGAGGCCCTCGGCGAGCGGCTGCGCACGCTGCCCGAGCGCGTGAGCCACGAGGTGATGGTGCCCCTCAACTCGCTCGCCTTCATGCCGGGACGGATTATCCACACGAACGAGGTACTCGTGCTCCTGGGCGACAATTGGTTCGCCGAGCGGTCGGCGAGCCAGGCGATGGATATCGCCAGGCGGCGCGCCGAGCAATGCAGGAAGATGCAGAAAGAACTGAAAGCCGAGCGGCAACAGCGCACCAACTGGATTAAGTACACGGACGAGTTGCACCGCGAGAGCGGCTACGCCGACATTCGGGAGCCGTACGACCCGGCCGCAGAAAGTGCGTGGCGGGAGAGACACCGCAAGAGCGTGCGAGACTATCACACGTCCAAGAAGGCAGTAGAAGGTGAGCAACACCAGGCCGCCAAAGACGACGTGTGGAAACTGCTCGAGCGCCTAGAGTTGCAGGAGGAGCAGGAAGAAAAAGAAACCTGCACAAGCGTCGCGGCGACTTCGCACGAGGAGGTCTCCTCCCGCAAAGTCCGATGGCAAGACGAGAGCAGCGGCCACATCAGCTTCTCCTACTCGTCAAGCGATACCTGCTCGGCGACCACGGCCACCTGCAGTTCCGATGCATTGCTAAGTCCTGGCGACATCTTGCGCATATTTGGAGGATCCGAAGGCAGTGTGGCAAAGTCTATACTGAAGAATTCGTCAGATGTGAAGCCCCCGACGCTGCCCAAAGCGTCAGTATCGTCTCCAGTTGTACCTGTGCCAAGAGAAAGGCCGAAGCCGAAGTTTGGCGACGCGTTCACAGGAAATGTCATGGAGCACGCTATCGCACCTTCGTCGACGACAATTGACTTTGATGTTACTGACGTAGAATTACCGGCACCACTTAGCAAGCCAAGTTCGTTGTTTAAGTCAAGGAGGAGAATGAAGCCATAGACTCAAAGCAGCTTGTGGTACTCTACAGCAAATTTGTGCGGCTGTGAACAGTGCCTTTTTTGTGATCATGAAATACCATTTGCTGACTTACAGCTGTTATTACGAGGTGCCAAAGGAGCGCGTAAACTAATGTGAAAAAAAAAGTTAGGCTCAAGGCCTGACATAAACATTCATGTTAGCTGTCTGCGGAAGACCGCACGATTTGCCTTGCTGTACAATAACTGCAGCTTTTTCTGTCCTGAATTTACTAATATTTTTGTGGACCACAGGCATGAGATGGAACATTAATATGCTGTTACATCATGACCGCGTGTTGACTTTGTATACGGTAAAGCATTACCATATAAGAGGCATATGTTTCGTATTAAAGATTTATTTGCCTCCAGCTCACAATGTTATTTTGTCTTCTCTACTGAAACTTTATTGTACCCGGTGAAAAGCTTTTAGAAATAGCTTTTTCAAGCTGCAATGGTATGATTTTGAAGTGAATAATACTTTTATTTCTTTTTATATAATGTGCTCTTTTTTTATTGTTCTTTGGCAGAATGAAATAACGCATGTTATTTTGGGCAGGTTTATGACAGGTATAACCAAGTAACCTGGTTCCACACCTACAAATAGCAAAGATGGCAGAATGTGTTCTATAAGTACAGTATTGAAAGAGAGTCGACAGGTCTTAATGATTCGAACTTAGCTAGCTGAGCCATGCTTGTGTATTTGGTGATGATTACACGGTAAATCATTCCGTATAAGAGGCATATGTTTCTTATTAAAGATTTATATGCTATATATCATAATTATGCCATAAGAGGCATGTGATAATGATAGTCTCTGTTAATTATAACCTGCCATGCTTGTGTATTTGGTGATGATTACACGGTAAATCATTCCGTATAAGAGGCATATGTTTCTTATTAAAGAGTTATATGCTATATATCATTATTATGCTATGAGAGGCATGTGATAATGATAGTCCCTGTTAATTGTAACCTCCTTAGGTTCTTAAACGTGCACTTAAGTCTAAGTACATGACGTTAATGCATTTCGCCTCCATTCTAATGCAGCCAGCATGGCCAGGAATCAAATCGCATCCTCTTGCTTAAAGGGACTCTAAAGTCAAATAACAATTTACGTCAGAGGGAAAGCTTGATGTATGATAACATCTGAAATGACAATGTTATCAACAACAGTGCCCTACTTACCGAGAAATTAAAGAAAGTGCACAAGAACACAAGCGCAGCATTAGGACATTTTCAAAATGATCTCGATGACATCAGACAAACCGTCTACAATTAATCACTAGTAATCAATCTAACTACTCTAGGTAAAGAACGTTCCATGCATTAAGAGACGCAATAAAATGCTGCTTGTTCGTTTGTTTGATTCATGGAAAAAACAACCGCCAACGTTACTGTGGAGAATGGAGTGAGGGGTTCAAAAATTCAGTTTTCGCGTGGTTACACAGGACAGGTGGTGCCATCTAACGGGGCACAGTTGAAACAAAATCGTCTGCAATCTCGCAGTCAATGGAGGGAAATTGATCAATGGCTGTTGTTGCTGCTGTGGCTCCCACTGTTTTCAGTCTGCTGCTACTAGCGCAGTAAAGCTGGGCAACATTGTGCACCACAGCAGTGACGTGAGACGGTTCAGTCAGTCTGCTTCTTGAGTCGGGTAATTTGAAGTGCGCTAACCCGATGCGGAGCATTAAAACGTGATTTTATTTAAAAATAAGCCCTTCCTTGTTGCAAAAGTAAAATACGAGGTGTCTGAACCGCCATTTCAACAACGTTGACTTAATTGACTGTAGTGTCCCTTTAACAACGCAACACCTTTACAACATGCTACCACATTGAAAGACAACTGTATAAAAAAAAACAAGAAACTTCTGTACATAATGAACATACCAGCAACAAATTTGTTTTAGTGCTATAGTGTTAAGCTAAAGCTGCATTAAGCTTGTTTTGTACCATGTTAAGGATATACCAGAGAAATTTTCAGCAAGCACCTACAGATATACTGAGGGACACACGCAAGCTTCCCGCTGTTGTGAACATCACATTGTTAGGGTATCTGGCCTCTCCTTTCCAATGAAAATTTTTGACACAGAGTTGTTTCGGAACATACTTCTTAAAGATATCACCTCCTAATTTAAGGGTCTCAGTCACACAGCTATGCGCAGCCCTTATGTTTTTTCTGGCTGGTGATTTTTCATCTCTGAAGAATTTCACATGCTTAGAAGGTAGTGGAGTACCTGTATTCTGCTCAAGTAGGTAAACTAGGCTCTATTGCCATGAAATGCTTACTCAGGCCAGTTGGTACATGTGCATAAAAAATAAGTGCTAGGTTCGTCTGTCCTGTGGTTTATGCTGTTTCTCATTTTCTATATATGGTTTATTGCCTTTCATTTTTATTTTAGCCCACCGAAGTACGGGTTGGGTGCAAAAGGTGTAACCTTTTTATTTAGCTCCTTGCACTTGTTGCATTGCAACCTGCTTGAAAACATCAGTCCTATTGGCCATATTAAGTTATACCGGTGCCACACAGACACTTTTATTACAATAACAAGTTGGTCGCTCTTGCACAGTACAGCCTAATCTGTATCGAGTTTCGAGTTCGGCACATATGTCAGCCAGATACCAATCACGATCATGTAGCCAGATCGCGATGTGCAGGTCACCACTGATCTTTTTGATCGAGATTTGAAATGTGTACATAGGCTACATCAATTCATAGTCGATGTGATGCAAAATTTAGTGCACAAATTACCAAATGTGGATCTTGTGCTGTGCCTTAGTTCATCTGACTCCCACCTGTGTGAATTCTGTCTCCAATGAGGATGGAAGGTAAAGCTGCATTCTAGATTCGAAGCAGCTTGTAAATGAGGCCTGTCCTCTGTCATGCCATAGTCAGTGCTAGTACTCTGAGCACCCACCAGATGGCTCTGCGGTAGAGTGCTCGGTCCGCTCCACTCCAGCGTGCGCTCTTGTATGAGGGGAGACCGCTAGCGGTGCTACGCTGCTCTTTATAGTAAAAGCGCTTACACACACACACAGCATAGTAGTATGAATAAAGACATGAGCATGAGTTTGGGGGAAGCGAGTGTTCGCAAAGCAGCTGCAGCACGGCATCGCCAGTTGTGAGCATTGAAGCTAAAGAGAGACGCCAGCCCCGGCAAGCCGACTGTTGTGGTCCGTAAAGTCAATGGATCTGCAGGCGTAGCTTGGAATTGATGATGTAGGAAACGCAACCATAATCGTTTACGGTGATGAATAAAGAGCACCTCTACAGAAGACGACCCATGGCTGCTTTACATACTGCTCAGGGTTCCCTTTTAGGGGAGATGTGTGTGATTTTTTTCTTCATCTGGTAAGCATGCTTGGAAAATGAGCATGTGCGTGATGGAGACAAGATGAGAAGAACCGAGTAAGAGCGCTGATATTGTGTCCTCCTCACCTTGTTTCTTTCTCTGTTGTGCTCGCACTGATTTCCCAAGTATGCATATATTCCAACTTCTTCACCTCTCCACCTTACTAAGATCGGGCAATTGTCTCAAAATAACAGTAGATAGATTGGGTAAACAAAATGTTTGTCTTGCATATGACTTGACAGGCTGCGCGGTTCTGTGGGCTATGTGTGGCCAATTCTCGGTGTTGATAGGGTCTAGTATCATGGTTTTGGTCATGTATGAAAAATGTTTTCAGATTAAATTTTCTCTGTGTGTGCGTCATTTTTCGTGGACGTAACTTGAAAGAACCGGAAGCAGGAATGGTTATATGAAACTGGGGTGTACATTTTGTGTAGCTGCTTGCATATTATGCAGTTTCCGAACTGCATTTCAGTCACGCACACAATGTTCAAGGACTGTGGCAATGGTTCATGTGCAAGTACAGAGTATATTATGTTTTTTGGTTGCTATCTCTTTCCGCCTTCTTCAGACTGCTGTAATCTTTTTGTTGTCACGAAAAAGTAAGCAGGCAGTCGGGATTGCACATAAGAATATTTGAAATGGCCGCACACACATGGCTGCTCACCCGCAGGTCACGGGTTCAAATCCCGCTGCGGTGGCTGCATTTCCGATGGAGGCGGAAATGTCGTAGGCCCGTGTGCTCAGATTTGGGTGCACGTTAAAGAAACCCAGGTGGTCGAAATTTCCGGAGCCCTCCACTACGGCATCTCTCATAATCACATGGTGGTTTTGGGACGTTAAACCCCACAAATCAATCAAATGACTGCCCACATCTTGAATAACCAGTAGTGTGAATACTTGATCCATCATTGCAACCGCTTGAAATAATGAGCGTCTCTGATATATTGCGCGTATGGGTTATGAGAACTGCTCCCATATAGAGGGATTACGTTGCCTTTTTTTTCCTTTATTGTTGTCAAGGTGTTCTTTATGAAGTCAGATACTTTAATCTTTCACTACATCTTTTGACAATCGTGAAAATGCTAGCTTGAGTGCATGTTGTAGTCTATGCATCTTATGGCCAGAGCAGCAACTGATTCTGTTGTTACATCTGTTCTGTGGCAGGCAAATGACACTGTATTAAGACGCCAGAGTTATGCTCCCAGCATCAGTGGTGACCTTGCGGTCATCGTTGGCAGCGGCTACGCGACTTAGCCTCATAGCCGCACGATGCCACGCATCTCTTGGAACCCAGCATGTCCAAGCGGTATGCACAACTTATGTGAATTTCAAAGAGTTCATATATTGACACTTACGTGAATGCCGCAGCAACAAGTGATCATGGGCATTTCTTTCCACTTAAAATGATGTTGGAACTCCCGCATGTTATCTACAGACGCTTGAAAATGGTGATCGATGCCTAGGTATGTGAACAGTGAAAGGGTGGTGCAATGGTAATTGTACGCTAAATTATCTAGAGGTCACCGAAAACACGTCGTAATGCCATTGCAGTTCTTCCGAGATAACATTAGTAATTGCAGTGGTCCGATAAAGTGCCACCACTTCGGTACAGTGCATTTACACATGACAGGAGTTCTCTAGTGTTCGACCTATCTGCCTTATCAAAGTGAGGGGCAGTACAGAGCAGCCTTTTAGTGGACTCACTACCACCTTAAATTAGCTTCAATTTTTGTCGGTTCAGATGTCACTCGAAGAAGGTACTCCTAGGTTGGGTTTTGGTGTTGCTCTTTTTTTTTTTGCTTATTTAAAGTTATTTTCTGCTTTTTCAAGTATTCATGCTATCAGACCCGGGACAGGAACATCTCAAGAAAATAAAAGCACCATTACTTTGACACAGTGAAAAAATTGCCAAAGTTAGCCTTTAGTGACCTTGCTTCTGTCCCTCTCTAGCCCACCTCCTTCTCCCGAAGCTGCTGGGATGGTTTCTTTGTCATACGGGATGATTCCGAAATGAAGATAAGCAACTTCTTATTGTCTGATTTTCCTCTGCTCAGGAATGTAAAATTCTCTTGCATAATGATGCAAATTGAATTAATAAAACAGATGTAGCACTGTTACTGCATCTGTTACTGCAACTGTGAGATCATCACGAGATCAAGGCCACATTTGAAGTTTGAAGTCTATCATTTTTATTTGTTATGCAGGTGCAAGCTGTTGCCTCCAAAATGCTTCACTTAGATATTTTATTTGACGCAGTCTACCACGGGGATCAAGGAGGAGGTGCAGTTCCCTGTGAGCGCCACGGTATCTGAGCCAACTCCTGCGCAGACGACAGCTGTGAGCTTTGAGATGGTGTGTAAACGAGTCGAGGAGGGCAATGAAGTGGGCCTACCAAACGGCGCCGTGGTCGCAGCGTTGCGCAAGTTGCTCACCTCACCTCAGCAGGATTCACGCATGATGGAGTGCTTTGCTCATAGCATACTCTGGCGTTCACGACGCATGGACCTCATAACCTGTGCACCCTGCTCAGCCTGCATGTCAAACATCAGGTGAGCTGTGATGGGATAGCGAGGGATAGAACGGGTGTATTGGGGTTTTACCATGTAAGCTGGGCTGAACGTGTGCCTTGTCCGCCCTCGTGGATCAGTGGTTATAGCGCTCGGCTGCTGACTCCAAGGTTATGGTTGAATCCTGGCCATGGGGGTAGCATTTTGGCGGAGGCGAAGTGATAGAGGCACAAGCATGGTGTGATGCCAATGCACGTTAACGAACTCCAGATGGTCAAAATTTCAGGAGCCCTCCACTACGATGGCCTTCATAATCACATTATTTGTGGGACATAAAATCCTTGATATGTATTATTGGTATTATTATAAACATGTGCCTTTTTCTTACATTTATCCCAGAACATGAATGACTTCTATAATGAATTAGACCATCAAGTGTATTTCACACATCTGGGGCAGTATAAACACTTTCTTTGTGTTTATTGAAATCATAGAAGTGCATTATGAGATCCACATTTATACAAGCTTGTTCAGAGATGTTCGATATATAACTGTAATTAAAACTGTATGTATTGGTCCAAATATCAGCATTGAGACAAAATATTGCGCTATAATGTTACATAGTTAACCTGCTTATTCTTGGTAGTAATTTATGCTGCTCTGTTACTTGTGGTAAGTGGTAAGCTTGACGTGGTTGTTGATGAGCATGTCACCGTACAGCTGTCTTAGTTCTGGTCAGCTTGTGCTGGCAAATTAATCTTTATGTAGTTGAGGACTTCTTTACTGTTACATCAACGAGAGTTGCAATGTTGGCTTGTTGGTGATGCACTTGAAAGAATGTCTTGTAGCGCGAGATGAAATATGGAAACAGGAATCCTTTCCATCCATTCCTTTCTGTTTCCGCATTTCGCCTCCCACTACAAAACATTCTTTTAAATGTTGCACTAAGTATGTGAACTTGACACATTTGTGCTATGAATTGTGTTTGAGGTTGTGTGATTTTGTCACCAGCTGTGGGGATGTAGATGCTCTAGATGTTGCTTGCAATGCACAGTCCTCTCAGAAATCAGCAGAGAAAGGAGGTTATTGTCTAGCTGCCATGGTGTACTCAGCTTTAGTGTAGTACTCAGTACTGGGAAGAGTGTGCTGGCACAACGTGAATGACTTGTTTTTGAGACTTAAGTGCCTTTGGAGGACATCTGACAGATCCACCTTGACCCTCCTGCTGCTATTTTGAGAGCGAGAGACTAATGCTAGTTTCGGAATTCTCGTTGTGCATAAGTCTTTCGTTGTGTTTGTGTAAGTGCTCTGTAGTCTGGGAGCTGTGACTGAGTGATCTCATGCCCACATTAACAGAAGGACAGTGAAATGGAGCAGCGAGTGGTGGAGCATCTGCGAACGGTCATACGAGAGCGACTGTCCGAAGCGCGGACAGTCAAAGACATCGTGTGGCTTCTGGAGACAGCAGAGCATATGGGTGGCACCGAAGAAAGGCGGAAGTTTGTGCTCGAGGTGCAAGACCGGGCTTTGCAACTGGTGGTCTCTTTTCCACACTCGGATGTTCGCTTGCTTGTGCGCACCTTGGCGCGATTGAAATTGCGGCCGACACCCTTGCTCCAGGCCCTAGCCTTCTACCTGTCCAAGGGCCCAAAGGTGTGCGTAATTTCTTTACGCTTCAAAGGTTGAATTCTTTTTCCAAATGGGAACTTTCCAGGTCGAATTTGTTCATTGCTGATTTAAATTTTTGAGACAAACTTTTTTTAGAAAAAAAATATTATCTTTAGATTGATCGCAATGTGACGAAAAAATCATTTGTGTTGTTACATACACATTTTCTTCATGAATAATAGCAAGATATATTCTAAAGAGGGCTTACGCGGCTGTTCAAGACCAACGTGTTGTGGTAAACATAGTTCACAGCTGTATAATACTATGTACACGAAGTGGCATCAAATGGAAACACGGAGGCAGACCGTCTCAAGGCACACATTTAGCACCGTCTTGTGGCACACATTTCAAGATATATTGCTGGTTAATCATCATCCAAGTCGTAACTCGTATGTACACTCCTCATATGGTGAGCTGACATCCCATAAATCGGATCCTGATTTGGCAATCGAGTGGCAATTGGAACAAATTGCCGCTAGACTCACTTGTACAGGGGTACTGACACTCACTTCCATAATGCAAGCTAAGCGCGCAGATGAGTGCTCTGAAGAAAACTGTATGATTTTGTGTGTGTGTGTGTGTCAGAAGATCAAAAGTAAGAAATAAACCTATAATATAATCCCTCGTATAATCACTGATCATGCGGAAGTGGTTTTTGTTAGCCCCCAGAGCAGGAAGTGCAACAAGAGCAACATTGTTTGTGTCAGTCAGCACCTGAAGTAGTGAAGTGTGAAATAGCTATGAGGCATGAAATAGTTGAAGTTTTAAACAAAACCATGATAAAACTTAGGAATGAAGAATACGATAGGAAAAAAAAAAAAAGACAAGGCAAAGTGCCAGCTTCAAGTAAGTAGCTTTATTGGAAAGGAACCCTTTAATATACTATACTTTCCTAGCTCATGCATGTGAGTGGAGCCACTACAAAACGTGCAGTGATGCTGAGGCATATTTTCACGAGAGCTACCCTTTGCCACCTTGATGTCTGCATTGGCATGCACGTGTCACAAGTCACTCATAATGGCACTTTACTCAGCTTCTATAGTGATTTCTCTTGTAGTCTTTTTATGGCATCTGACAGCGATAACACGTTGGCTTAGTAAAGGCATTGTTGATACAACTAGGCCATTGTATTGTGCAGTTGTTCAGTGGAGGATGCTTTGAATATATCATTTTCAGTATATGGTTGATATAGATGAGGGCCAAGAGCTCCTCAAGCTGCCCAAAGCAGCTTTTTTCTTGGCCCCTGCCATTGTATGAGAATTTTTACAGTGTAAATGAACGAATAATGAAATGAATGAATACTGTATATGCACAGCTAATATGCTTAAAAAGCACATGATGAAGACAAGACCCAAAATGCCATCTACACTCCTCTGACCCTGTGGCACCTTCGTTTCAGGATGCTTCCCCAAAAGAGATTGTCAGCCTCTTTCATGCATTTCATGCACTGAGCTTCCCCGAGCCTTCCGTGCTGCTGCAGCTGTCCACAGCTTTTGTGGAGCAGCTCTCTGACAACACCAAGGCTTCCCTGGTTGCAGCGTGCTTCACAGGTGTAGGCCAGTTGTCTTGGAGGCACTGTGGTGAGCTGCCAACTTTCACCTTTGCTTTTGCAATTCAAATTGAAGAGGAACACTAGATGAGATTAGGTTGGAGCAAAAAATGTATATCTGTTTCGCTCCAGTCTCATTGCCATGTCAATTGACTGGCTGAGCAAAGGCAACTTGCCTCTGTAATCTGCCAGGCTCTTGATTTGCTATCTTGATTGCAGAGAACTTGTCGTAGAAGGTGGTAAAGCTTTCGGTGATCTGTGCACCATGACCTAGCAGTCTTCATTTGTGAACCATTTGGTTGAAAAAACTGTAGCAGGCTTTTTGTGTGCAGTGTGCAATCATGCTTGACTGTAATGAGGAGTGTGAATATAACGAAATAGTTTGCAATGTCAAGATATCCATGTAAAAGAATTATTCCAAATGATTATTTCTCTGGTAAAACTTGTTGTTCGGCTAGTTGGTGCATGTTACAAGAAAATTGAACAACGCAAACGGGCAAGAATGGATGAAATAAAAGAGCATCAACTTCCAAACTTGTCAAATCCTTATTGCTTGTCCAATCGATGGTTTGACACATCCACACAAAGCTTGCACATCAAGCGGGATCAATTCATTTCTGATGTGGTACGCCAGGTATCTCACGCGGCAAGTAGCATGGGCAATAGGTGTGACTAGTAAGCAAGGTTCATAATCGGAAGAGATGAGCATAGCTTAAGGCCCACTGTAAAAAAATTTTACGTTGTCTAAGTTTCTTGTAACATGCACGAACTAGCCACAAAATAAGTTTTAATAAGTAGTATATTGCAGGACAGGATGCAACAAGCACTAACTACAAACATGAAGACGAATGAATACTAACTAGCCCACTTTATAGCTGTTCTAAATTTTAAATAGCATTGTCTTAATATTATATATCACATATCATAAAGAAAAATTAGCATTTTTGCCATGACTCAACTAGTTGCAGAGTATGTGTAAGAATTTGTATCACTAGATGTGTGGTAGTGTGACTTCTCTGGTTTTAAGTGCTAGCAAATTTAAATACCAATAGGGCAGAAGTTATAAATGGTATATATGCTAAGTTTTATAACTTGCTACACTTAGTGCATATAGCCATTTTAATGCACTTTTAAATAAATAAAAAAAAAAGACTGGAAGTTCTTCATAGCAATGCGACTATTTTTAAAAAGGTGGCCTCGTGGCATAGCATTTCTACACTGCAGTGCAACAACCTTTCAGGTAGTTACATACAGTAAAATATTAGAGCGGTGCGAAAAGCGATATTGTAGGGGCAAAGCTAATTCGAATATAGGAGTTTGAAGTGCAAATAGAGTCGAATATTTTTTACATACTTTGAAGCTAGATAAAAAAATTAGTTGCTGAGGATCTCTAAGCTTATTCTTATGAAATGGCAACATGAAAGTGTCTCGTATGGCTAAGGTTGCTGAAGCAGTGGAGGGGGTGTTCCCTGGTTGTCTTATCAAGAAAGAAGCTATGGAGAGGGGCGACTGCACTTATTTACATGATTTGGTGCAACCAATGTCGGTGACAATAAAATTTCACTCGTGAAAGGCAAAAATGCTATTCCCTAAGCCTCACCTGACTTTTTCAGCTTCTGTGAAACCCCAACTCACGTGGCGGACAAGGGTGAACTCCCTTCGAGTACAAACCTCCTAATCTGTCTTATAGACGTCGTGCCCCGCCGCGGTGGTCTAGTGGCTAAAATACTCGGCTGCTGACCCGCAGGTCGCGGGATCGAATGCCGGCTGTGGCGGCTCCATTTTCGATGGAGGCGAATATGCTGTAGGCCCGTGTGTTCAGATTTGGGCGCACGTTAAAGAACCCCAGGTGGTAGAAATTTCTGGAACCCTCCACTACGGCGTCTCTCATAATCGAATGGTGGTTTTGGGACGTTAAACCCCACATATCAATCAATCAATCAAGACGTCAATGTGCTTAGGAACATCTGAAATTTTGAATGCTAAAAAAGGTTCGGCGTCCAACTTTTCAGACTTTCTGCACATATTTCGGGTCTGAAACAGCATTGATTGAACCTTCACTGCTGCTGCGTATATTGTCTTCTTGTTGGGCGCAGCATTCGTTTTATTATATACATTCAAAACCCTTGCAGAGTTTGGAAAGTTGTCTTTGCCGCAATACCAGAATGTGATGAGGTGAAGCAATCAGATGTTGGCTGCATTTGTTTTCGGGTGGTTCGAATTATTCCAATAGGTGAAATGCCGGTGCGAATCGAATTGAACAGCAAACACTATTAGGAAAATATTCGAAAATTTTAATATTTGCATACTCGTATAAAATATTCAGCTATTCGTTCTTTTTGAATATCTCGAAGGTTTGGCCAATATATATATCCTTGTTGAACCGAATTCGAATACTGTTTGTTCTATTCGTCCGATTATTCAGAGTGTTCGAAATATTCAGCTGTCCATACAAGTCTTGCATTTGTGGCGTGAGGTAGATGTCATACTTACCAGTTGTCACCCTATTCGGCACTTCTGTCGTGTCGGTGCTTTGTTTTTTTGCTGTTGACAAAATGGCGTGAATTCGTGTTCAATCCAAAGTCATGGGGACCGCATTTTGATGAGGGGCTAGATGCAGAAATGCCTATGTGCCGAGACGTACGTGCACATTTAAAGAACCTGAGGTGGCCTTAGGTAGTCCGGAGTCCTTTCCTGTGTCACTTTCCACAATCTCGTTGCAGTTTTGGTGCATAAAGCCTCATAATCTTGCCTCTCGCTATGTGATAATTCGTTGCTGTCATCTCCACAGAGCTACTAGAGTCAGTGCTCCAGTTGGATGGTGACTCATCGGGCCTCTTGCCGTCCGAATGACTTCACTGCCTGTCTGCTTGCCCTGGCACGGCTGCAGTACATGCCCGAATGCGCAGACCAGCTTTTCCCGATGCTGCTCGAGGAACTCTCTGAAGACCACTTCACGAGCATGCCCTCTGTCTGGCTTGACATCGTCTGGTCACTAGCAGCGCTTGGCAAAGTCAAGCAGACACACCTGGACTCTGTTCTTCAGCCTCATTTTTACACTCCTCTTCTGGGTAAGTAGTTGATGTTCGTAGGCTAGCGCGAAAATCACATGTTTGACTTAGTGCCTATTTCGAGCTTAATGGTTATTGACGTGGGGCTTGCACGAAACGTTGACACCATCGGTCCACTAAGAGGGTTATTGCACCCCCCACCCCTTATGAGGCCGTCCTGACAAGTGTCCAAGTGCTGTCCTAGCTCATAAACATTGTCCTAGCTAGTGAAACTATGACAGGCTATTGAAAGTAGCAGAGCTCCGAATGGCCCTAAAGAGTGTGGCACAACATTGCTGATGTACGGTGAAATGCTGTATAGTGTACTCTGGAGGCAGTGGTTTTGACGCACTGAAGCTGCTGCATAGTCAGCAGCCACAAGAAGTGATATGCCTGAAATTGCTTGACTCACAATAGTCGTGGTCATAGTGTTTACTACAATACTAGCGTTTCTCTTTTTTTTTTTCATTTTTGCATGCTTGTAATGTCCTATATCTTGTAGCATTCTCAGCTGTAGTTACAAGGTATGTCACATATGCTGTTTCATGTGATTTGATCGTTGCTTATTTTTTATTGTTTATTTTCATTTTCTTTTTACAACAGAGGACTCGTCTCTTGCTGTACCTTCACGACAAAAGCTGCTCAACATAATCACCGTGAATGACTTGGAATTTCCCGACGGTCCTTGTTTCCCAAAAGAAATGGTCGAATCTATTGTTCAGGTGAGAGTACAGCGCATCCTTCTCGACAGCCTATGGTTAGATGAGTAACTGACTCCTTTGTACCGAGCTATTTCATGCAGCAGGCTGCCAGACTGCTCATGTGCGAACTGCTAGAACCATATTCCTGTGGACCTGCTGCATTTGCTCTTTTTGATTCGCTTCTTTTTATGAGGCATTCGATTGCCAAGATTGCTGAGTATCTGTGGAATTCTGGTGCTCTGTACAAGTTACAGATTTGATTACCAACTGCCGTGGAACACTAGAGTGATCATATATTCTTTTATTTAGACATGAATGCACAATAAGGAACCCGAGGTAGTGAGAATGTACCTGCAAACACCCACTACAACCTGCAGGTACCACCCATGCTGTTATCAACATTCCTATGGTCATTGACTCACCCGTTCAAATAAGGCTTTTCGCAGATGACTGCGTTGTGTACACAAGGGTAAATCGAACTGAGGACCAGATTAACCTTAATCACTCATTAACAAAAATTCAAGACTGGTGTTCCCAGTGGGGAATGACATTGAACGCGCGGAAAACCGTTGCCATAACTTTCACGAATAAGAAAAAACCACTCAAATTTGCTTATACAATAGACAATTTAGAAATTACCAAAAGCGATCAAGTTAAATATTTGGGAGTTACATTAACATCCAACCTTAATTGGGATCCACATATAACTGCTATTTGTTCGAAAGCGCAAGGTAAATTGGGCTTCCTAAAGAGAAAACTCTGTAACACTCCCCCTGCAGTAAAGCTAACCGCCTATAAGACCCTGATTAGACCAGCACTAGAATACGCCGATATAATTTGGAGTCCACATCATAAATTTCTCATTAGAAAAATTGAGCGAGTGCAAAACTTAGCAGTTCGATTTGTGTTTTCCGATTACTCCAGGTATACCAGTGTTACTAATCTGCGTAAAAGAGCCGAACTTCATTGCCTTTCCGAACGGAGAATACATTCTAAACTTAAATTCCTGTATCTTCTTTATCATGGGAAATATACAATATCCAGATCAGACTATCTTCTTGAACCTTTCAGGCATTCCACGAGAACTAACCACAATAAGACAATACGACTGCCCACAAGTCACAACAACATTCACAAAAACTCTGTTTTTCCGTCATCAATTGCATATTGGAATCAACTTCCATTAATAGCTGTGAACTGTGACACCGTAGAATCCTTTATTGAAAAGATTAAAACTATAAGTTTTGAACAATAGACGCAAATGTATGAATAGGGATTTATTGTGAGCAGTTTTTTTTCCCTTTGACTGGTTTGTCCTTTTAGCATGATTCTGAACATTGCATTATGACACTGTTGTTTTGGCTACTTGGAATTCAATAGTTTTTTCTTTCTTCTTCTTGGATTGTGTCGGTGCCTTTCTGTACATGACATCATTGTTTGTATATCCTATGTACCACTCCTGCTTGGACCGAGAAGGTCTGCAGTATACTTAAATAAATAAATAAAATAAAAAATAAATGTGTAAACTACGGTCTCATAGCCTTTTTAATACTTTAAAGTGGCAAGCCTCATAATTTGACATCATTTCATTTTATTATAGTGCATGTCATCCCATTATTATGTTAACTTAACACGCAATACAATTGACCCAGCAAATCAAGCAGGCTACTGATGTGAAAAAAAAAAAGAACTTTTTCTCCCCTAATAAACAGATTTATAAGCAACTAACAGTGTCTCTATTAACTGCTTCAATGATTTGCCTCGTTAGGTGGCCAGCAAATGAATTGTGTCCTGTCTTGCTTTTTCGCCATCTGTGTGACTGCGCTGTTGAAAGGATTGAGTTCAAAAACCGTCTATGCAGCAGAACTACAAGGTACCAGAAGCGGGAGCACTGCAGCGTTCGGTCAGGGAAGCACTGACCCAACTTGCGCCTCTGGGGAGGTACTTTTTGCAGAACCCAAGCTTACCCTATGGACTTGCTGCAGGCAAGTGCTTTGCTTGATGCGTCCCAATCTTGGTATCGTGGTTAACTTGTTCAGACATAAAAAAAGAAGTAGTACTCTAGGCTAGCCATATGTCAAGCCGTATTATGCTGCGGTTCGGATCATAATGCCGCAAAACGTGTGATGCTGTGAAGATGGAAGAGACAGTGGCTGCTTTTGGTGGTGCATACACACGAAATACATAAGGACAAAATGTGTGACTAGTAAACTGGCTCACATTGCAGTGATAGTCTGGAGGGGTATGGGCAAACAGAATTGCGACAAGGACGTAGTCAGGCTCTGTTAGCTGATTGGCCCTGTAGCGATGGAGAGGCAACAGGGTTCGTGGCAGGAGTGAGTGAACCATCGCTTGGCAGATGGTAGCAGCTGTTCACCCATGTCTCGTCAGTGCCAGGCCTGAACCTTGAGATGCTCACTGTCCTGAAGCCAGAAGGAACCGAGGAACATTGAATCTCACGTGTAGATGTGGATTCCCCAACAGCAGCGGGCCAATTAAAAGGTCTCTTGGTGTGCGACACTTGAGACGTTCACTGTCCTGAAGACCTGTCAGCTCCTGTGAGAGTGAACCCTGCATGTAGGCGTGTGTTCGGTAGTCCTTCGGTGCGTTGTGCTAGTATTCCAATCTGTCTCTCTTGCACAAGCGCCGTTTTGTTTTTTTGCAGCACGAGCACTCATTCTTTTTTATTTTATTCCTGCAATCAGCCGCTCTGTCATCTGCTCACATTAGTTTGTCTTTGCGCGCTTCGTGGGCAGCAGCAACACACGTGGCAGTGCGATAAGCTCGCAGCCATGTGATGAGGAAGTATAAGTTTCGTTGCAGCATGACAGATGGCACTTTCAGCTTGTTCATATTGTTCATATTGCTGTGAATTATTCGTATTGTTCATATTGCTGTGAATGTAAGGCATGAAAATTTTATTCAACGAAGTCAAGCAACAGAAATGATGTACGTTTTATAGTAGTTATAATTACATAAAGCCCTAAATACAAGTTGGCCTGTGCTTGCAGGGCTTATATGGGGCAAATAACTAGTTATAAGTTTAAGGCCTCCTTTTGAAGAGATGGCAAATTTGTGAACCCTAACATTGGAATACCATTAAAATAAAGCACAGCCAGCCAGAAAATGTGTCGTGTGTTTTATTTGATAACTCATTATGTATTCTTCTTTATAACATCTTAGTTTTTGCTGCATTTACTTTGGACTTATTCTTGTTCTAAAGTTCCAAAGGATAAGGACCCACTTGTGAGTTATGTAAATGACCTGTGGCTTGTTCAGTGGGCTTATAAACGTGAGGTTGTTGATAAGCTGTGAAGGTCATTAACAATGAATTCTACACCGAATGATCCACATTAAAGTCCATGCATGGAGTACAAACCAGATTTTTTTGCTGTGTTTGTTTGGTTGTCACAAGGGATGGACGCTGTTAAAATGTTCAGATATTTAGTACGATTCACACAATTTAAGTTAGTGTGAATGTACTTGTGCATAGTGTGTGCCTTTTGGGTTCTTCAAAGTTTAACATTTTGTGCTTTGTCTTTTTTGACAGATGGAGAATTGGTTGTGGACAAAAATGCGCAGCCCATTTTGCTTGACTCAAAGCTGAGCCAGATCACCATAGGTTTGTTCATTAATTCCATCTTCAGAGCTTCTCTTATTACGTGGGTGATCTTGAATGGTCTACTTTGTTTTGTTTTTTTTTCTGAACTTTCTCTTCATTCTTTTCTTTCCTGCAGAATCGTGCTGGTGGTGCTTGACTATAAGGATTTGACATTGCATAGCCAAGTCCCAACAGGCGTCAATGCCCTTCGGATGCGGCTCCTCAAACACCTCGGCTACAAGGTGTTGCAGGTAGGCACATGGGCTTTCGAACTGTGCAATGATGTACTACTGCTGGCCCTTTTCTATTACACAGATTTTATGCATTGCATGAATCAAGGCTAATGTGAAACACTTGATAGTGCAAGGCATATTGTGAAATGTTTCTGCATTTTTGTGCAGCGTACATTTCGTTTTGCTTTTGGAACTATAGTACTATACTAATAAGGAGGCATCTGAAATGGGCTGATGCGTACCGTGCAAGCACCCAGTCCTTTTCAACACAATTGTTGCAAGAATATCTTCGATGTCAAGCACAGCAGAATGTAGAACAATATTTCGAAAACAATGGACAACACATTTATGCAATTTGAGTAAAATAATGCCGTCACATTTGTGTGGTGCTGAACTAGATGTATCATCTGCGGCGTTTGAAAAAGAGTGAAGGACAGAATGTGTGATGTCATTGTGAAACCCCTGCTCTTGTCTGTTTGTGCTTGTGAAGGGGAGGCCACTACATATCGAGAAGTCCAATAGTGCGTATAGTTTAAAGCCTTGCAGCTTATAGAGGATTAGGATGGAATTGGATGCAATATTTGTCGCGGACATTGGCACAGCACTGAGCGGGTGTCATGCTTGGTAGGAATTTAGCTGATACCAAAGGTGACAGAATGAGTGTAGCATTTTTTTTTTATTTCGAAATTCTGCCCCTAGGCATAATAATTATCATTCGGCAACATTTGCTGTCCTCCCATGTACTTCTGTATCACAGCTGAGGAATATAGGCACAGGTGCCCTGTGCCTGTCTGCTTCTGTTGTGAAGCAAGAAGTAGATGGGCACACCATAACACTTAAGAATCAAATGATTGCTGTGCAATGCATTACACATGCCAAATACTGGCTTGCGAGAGACAAGTATTTTTTCTGGTTGAATGGCACATGCATGTGTTGCCTATTCGGTACAGCATCATGCTGCTATGCTGGTGGAGTTTAAAACCTGATATTGGGACACTGTTTTCATTATTGAGGTTGCAGTATCGAGGCTTGCTTGACAATATCATGGTGAGAACTTAAGTAGGTATGCTAACACTAATTCTGTGCCTTTATAAAGTGTATCTTATGTAGTCAAAATGGCGTTGCTTTACTATTGTTTAATGTTAGTAAAATCCACTCAACTGCCGATTTTTCAAACACCCGAATTTTCGGACATGCTTGATAATTCGGACATCTTCGTGGCACCGCCACGAGCTCTATAGAATCAATGTATAAGGAAGTCTGAAATTTCGGACGCTCGAACCCCCCGGAGTCCAATTTTCTGGACTTTTCGACGCGACGGAAGGTCGGAAACCACCACTGACCTCCAGTAGAAACACAACTGTGTCACACGCAATTACGATCGCATAAATGAGCGCGCCGGTCTACTGTGGCGGCATCTGTTGCTTGGACTCGTTGATCGTTAGCGGAGAAACACACACGGCCGAGATTCCTAACAGTGGCCGTGTTTATCGTGCAAGGGTGCTTCGCTGACAATTGAAACTATCCACCTGGAAATTTTTCGGTGCCAATAAAGTTCCTTTCGCTTTAGCGCTTGTGCTCATGCGTGCTACTCTGGCATCCTGCGCAGCCCTTTCGCGAAGCGTACCGTCACACAGCGATTTGGTCTGGCCACGCTGGCTATCTTGAATGTTTACCAGCGCCACCTCCGGAATACCCGAGGCACCGTCGCCTGCCGTCGCGCCATTTTGTTTACGCAGCCCACATGGTGTTTGGCTAGCCTAGTGCGTGTTTATGCAATCGTGCGAAGTGCGCTCTGCAACGCTAAGCCTAGGTGTTTGACGCTCGTCAGCAAACTCCTTCGTTCACATCGTGAGGATTTCGCTTGCCTGCTATGGCCCCCACTCCGCCTTCGTTGTCCTCGCAATGGCATCGAAGCGCAAAAAACTGTACCGTCTGTTAACGATGGAGAAGAAGGAGAAGAAAGCCGCCATTATTAAGTTAGTGAAGAATGGCTGATCGCACGCTGACGTGACCAAGGAGTTCGGCATTTCCAAGCAGTTCCCGATTTCATGTGGAACAAAGACAAGATCTTGCAAGCGGCCGAAAAACGGTCTGGTGCCCAAAAGATGAATGCAAGCCAAGGTGTTCATCCATAGCTTGAGGACGCTCTCGTCGTGTGGCTTAATTCAATGATTGCCAAGCGGTTGCCTGTCTCAGGCTGCATCTTGAAACAAAAAGTGGAAACTCTCGCGCTTCCAATGGACATCTCGGATTTTAAGTTGAGTGATGGATGGCTGAGAAACTTTAAGCGTCGGAATGACCTCAAGTTCAAGAAGATGTGTGGCGAAAGCGGCACCGTCGACAGTGCAGTTATTGCGCAGTACCGCAGTGGAAAACTCCAGTTTTTGTTGCAGCAGTTTTCTGCTGACAACATGTTCAACTGCGACGAAACTGGCTTGTTTTTACAAGCTGCTGCCGGAAAGAACACTCGCTTTTGCTGGTGACGCATGCCATGGTGGCAAGCATAGTAAAGAACGGCTGACCGTTCTTGTCGGCAGCAACATGTCTGGCGGCGAGAAACTTCTTTTGTTAGTAATCGGGAAGTCCAAGAGCCCGAGGTGTTTAAAGGGGCAACGCTGCCAGTGTTATACAAAGTCAACAAAAAGGCATGGGTAGCGCAGCAGTTGTTCGAGAGTTAGGTCCGTAGGTTGGACGGGAAGTTTGAACAACCGAGCAGACCTGTTCTGCTCTTCGTTGACAACTGCGCTGCTCATGGTCACATCAATAACTTGAAGGCTATCCAGCTAGAATTCATGCCGCCCAACACGACTGCGATCCTCCAACTGATGGACCAAGGCGTTATCCGTAATCTGAAACTTTTGTACCGTTCACGTATACTCAACCGCATGGTGCTGTGCTCGGAAAATGGGAAAGGCTACAGCGTTGACCTTCGGTCTGCTGTCGGAATGCTTGCGGGCACATGAAAGGCAGTAACGCAAGACATGCTTCGCAACTGCTTTCGCCACGCGGGCTTCGTACTCGACACAGAGGCAACAGACTTGCCTGAAGAAAGCGACAGCGTGACTTACTTGTGCCCTCTCATGGATGATATTATGAACGACCTCCGCTCTGCTGGTGCTTCCATGCGCACGGAAATAACTTTTGAGCGGTTCGTCGACGCTGACAACGAGCTCAACTTCTGCGCAGAGCTAATTGAAAACGAATATTCAGTCAGGTTATGGCGGATTCAGGCGACTCTGATGTCGAAAAAAAAGGAACCAATGCCTGCACCACCTATGACCGTCGAATCGATGTGAGCATTGATGGCCCTGTCATCAGTATACAGTGATGACATGACCCTTGCTCAGATCGAGGCGAATGTGATCACATGCAAGCAAAACGCCGTTCAAACAAGGATCAACAAGTTTTTCAAGCCACTGCAGCTCTAACACCGGCTGCCCTGACAGCACCTGCTGTCGGCGGCATCCAGTTTTTTTAACGGTTCTTTTCAGAGACATCCCACTGATGTTTCGGCAGAGTTCCGGAAGTCTGGTACTTCGACCTTGACCCTCTTGATCCGAGAAATTTCAATGAAATGGTGCGTTTTTTTTGCTTGCATTGAGAAATATTAGCAAAATGATGCGTTTTTTTTCGCTTGCGTTGAAAATTATCAGTAAAATAATGGTTTTTTTTTTCTTGCATTCATTTTCTTGGACTGCCCAAATTTTCGGACGGTTTTTCGCTCCCTAGAGGGTCCGAAAAATCGGCAGTTGACTGTAATCGTACATGCAACATGTCTGTTTACATAACCCTACAAGAAAATTACTTACAAATGTTTACAATATTTTGTTGAGCAGTTTTACTCCAAAACATGTTTCACGTTAGGGAAGTATGTGAAAATATTGTATTGCACATGGGCTCAGCCTTTGGAGGCACTGAGCACCATGCAGTCAAACACACATTATTGCTTTCTAGTTAGTGTTCATTTGCATCTGGTAGACCCTAAACTTTGTATATAAGCCTGGCCTGTGGGCAATGTGGGAAGCAAAGAGGTTCCTGTGCCGAGGACTGAAACAGATAAAGATGAAATGAATGAGCTGGGCACAGAAAACAATGTCTCTCAGCGGCATGCCAGGAAGGGAAAAGTGCCCACGGCTATGTTGCAAAATTCTGTGATGACCAACAGGGTTTTTGTCAGAGTCATGGCAAATGTGTTTTTTGCGAGAGCCTCATCTCATTATGCCTAGACATAGTAGAACACACGTGATAAATAATGTTTATTCAAGCCAGTTGGTTCAGATTTTTAACTAGTATTGTAGAGCAGGGCTGGAAATTCAAAGGAGGCACATGTCACCAAATGGGTGCAGACTTCCTAATATATTTTGTGACGCATTGGACAAGCAATGTAAAATGCATCATTCAACTCATGCCACATGAGATTTTATCCAATAAACAAAGTGCAGTTGACTGCGAAAACCTTTTGTTTTCTTATTTTCAGTGATACTAATGAGCATAAACTTTTTAAGAAGGTATCAACACCTTTTCTTTCTATATGTTGACACGTGCACCAGCTCCAGCCTCATGGAGCATCAAAGTGGAGTGAATGGTTAAACATAAACTGGTAATGCAAAACAATGAATTATAATGATTGCTGCAGAAAGCAAACATGAGCAGCAGACTCTGCTTTTTGACTTAGCATTCACAAAATGATCACTATGTGAGGCATGTTCATGTTTTTGCCGCAGAGCAAGGTGTGAATGTGTGCGAGTGTGTGCAAAAATGACTCAGGAAAGTAATAGCACTTTACATGCTGCATTGGCAGCCACTTCACCCCCTTCGTTATTGGGCAAGCAGATTATGTAGATGCCATTTACCAATGGTGTGTTTATTAATTTTTGTGTAATTAGGATCACCCTTAAGTTCGACTTTTGACGTCAGATGCATAATCATCTCTTGTTGTCTTTTAGTCGTGTTGATGATCATGCCTTGTTGACTCATACGTATCTTTCCTAGTTACAATACCCAGAAGTTCATAAATCTAGTACATTATGAATTGTTTATGCTAAGTAGGACCTTACTCTTAGTAAAAACTGTTTCAAGCGTACAGCCTGTATTGCTAGCTTCTTTTAATGAAGCATTTGCCTAGTTATTTCTTCTAATGGAAACCTGAATTTTGTGCCTTTAAACCATGGCTGCTGTTCACATGGTGGAAAAGACAGTAGATGTGTGTCAGTTATTAAGATTGCTAAACCATGAAACTGGTCCTGTCTTGCATTTCTAGGTTCCCTACACGGAGTATGATGACAAAAAGCCTGCCCTGCAAAGAGTCAAATACCTGCATGAGAAGTTACTCCAATGTGTTGCTAGGCCGTAAATACCACTGTACATATTATACTGCTCCTCCTCCTTAAAATAAATGCATAAAACTAAAACCAGGCACACAAGCTTTGTCTTAATTATAATAAAATAAAGCATAAAGGTTTAGTCAATCTCTAGTCAACTTCTGTGGAGGCTCGACTGATTTGGTGGACAATGGGCGTGCTACCTTCGAATTCGGAGTTGCTAATCTGTCCTGCAGATATCAGTGTATAGAAACACCTGAAGTTTTGGATGCTGGAAATCTTCCTGTGAATTTCTCGGGCTTTTTAATCTGAAACAACATTAATTGAAGCTCTTATCTCTGCTGCTACACCCGAACCAGCGCTTTCGTCAGATGATCGATTTACGTCCATAGCTAGCCCTAACAACCTAACAGCTTTGCCGCAATACCTAAATGTGATGCGGTGAATTTTCTAAAAATAAAAAAAATAAAGGGGTCAATGTAATGGGGCAGTGCATTTTCATAATGGAACTGGCGTTTGCTCGAGTCAGTAGAGTGATTTAGTTTGACATTTTTAAGGCCCGTTCTGCTCCTAGTTGGTCCACTACGCTGCAGTGGAGTGGTGAACAATTTTCTCGTTTTAGTCATGCATTTTTCTTTCCGGAGCAGAACTTTGTAGAGTGCCTCGAAGTCCTGCTCTTCTGCCTTTCCGTACGGACAAGGAGGGCATTGAGAATGAAACTTTCGCAGTTGCAGCATCCTCTGGCCAAGTTCAGTCTCGCTAAATAAAATAAAAGACCATATTGTCACTATTACAAAGTAAAACAAGTATGCATAATTTACTTGTTCACGAAGTATTCAGACATGCCCTTACAATTCATTACCAGTATATTTCACCAAAAAAGAATAATAATAAAGCGTCGACTTGCAGTTAGCCGCGTGATAGTCAGCAAGGTTGCATTTCAGAGCCAGTTCAATTTGTCTGGATGCTGTAATGAGCTTTATATGGCGAGACAGAGCTCTAAAGAAAACGCTCATTTTTGGGGAAAAAGAATTGCAATGACTTAACCATCATCGAGATAATAACGAGGCCGTTTATGCATGAAGAAACCCGGTGTATTTACAAAGGATGATAGAACTATAATGACAGTAAAACAAGTGCTAAAATCGCTAAAGAAAAGTAAAAATCCGAACGAAGCAAAGAGTGAGTTCACCGGAGGCAACTGAGGGGTCAAGTCTCGAGAAAAGGCTGAACGACTCAAAGACGCTGAGTGAGGGCACTCGATGCTTGGGTAGCGCGGTAGTTGCGCTGCCAGCCGCGGTAAGCAACACTGCTCACCCCCGGTGTCGTTGACCTTGAACACGCATGGCTCCTGCCACACTGCTGATGAATGCTGGCCGAGGCTTGCTGTGGTAAACGCTTGGCTCGCCTAGCGGGAACGTCCTGGCGACGTTTCAACCACGCCACGCCAGAGGTGGTGGGCTGGCTGGTTTGGTCCCAGGCGTGTGGATGTATGGTTTGGCCTCAGGTGCGTGGACGGCTGGTTTGGACCCAGGTGGGAGGTGCTGCTACCTCAAGTCTAGAACCCGACAGGTCTCTGCTCCCACGCCCTAGTTCTTCGATCGCCAGCCACTTCTGCCTATCGTCTTCCACTTATTTCTTTGTCTCGAACCATCACGTGCCCCGATTCTACACATCTTCCTCGATGGTCTTAGAGGTGCGCAGTTCAAACGCGTTTGCGGCGCTTCACTGTTCACTTGGCCCTTAACACATGGCCACTTATCAGATGCCAACGCATCAGCGATCTTTTGCCTTGAAATTTCACTTTTACTCTTGCACACAAATCTCCTGCGAATGGGCCCGGCAATAGACGTTTATGCAGTGCCCGTGGTGGTGCTATATGAAATATAAATAAGTAAATAAAAGTCAAATTGAGGATGATGCAGCGAGCAATGGAAAGAAAAATGGTAGGTGTAACCTTAACAGACAAGAAGAGAGCAGAGGGGATTAGGGAACAAGCGGGGGTTAAGGATATCATAGTTGAAATCAAGAAGAGGAAATGGACATGGGCCGGGCATGTAGTGCGTAGACAGGATAACCACTGGTCATTAAGGGTAACTAACTGGATTTCCATAGGAGGTGAGCGGGTTAGGGAGAGACAGAAGGTTAGATGGGCAGATGTGATTAAGAAGTTTGCGGGTATAAATTGGCAGCAGCAAGCACAGGACTGGGTTAACTGGTAGAACATGGGGGAGGCCTTTGTCCTGCAGTGGACTAAGTCAGGCTGATGATGATGATGAAATAAAAGCAGTTGGTCAGACATGCCCACATCAAGTTTTGCTTGTTCCTGTTTGCCTGGGAGGGTTCCTGGACTTTTATTACCGCTGTACTTCGATTAAATTGGCTATACACTGCTGTGGCTTTATCACTGACTTTACAGAATGCTAAACAACTTTAAAAAAATGTACGTAGTCGCACTCATCATGAAAGCTACAGAAAGTGCTGAGCAGTGATGCGACTGCCCTCCAGTAAAGTCGTGTTCATGGGCAAGCTTTAGTCTTTAGAGGGGAAAAATCTAGGGATTTTAGACAAGCGAGTTATGGCAATTCAAACGTGCATCCTGCTCACTGTTCATGGCAGGAGAGGAAACCTTCAATTGTGATGCTGTGGCATCACAAATCTCTCGTCTCCTTTCTTTTTTCTTCACCCTTACCTCTAATTCAATACATTATACGTACACACAATGCTTTAACCTCACTTTCGCTTTCCACCCGCTTCAACTGCGCTAGACGTGGCTATGCTATGTTATAGCCTCACTTTTTTCGTCCTCCTCACTCAAGCCGGGTTTCCATTTCCCACCCTGTTGTTAAACTATACTTTACATGGAGGCAGAAATTTTGTAGGTCCGTGTGCTCAGATTTGGGCGCAAGAACCCCAGGTGGTCGAAATTTCCGGAGCACTCCACTATGGCGTCTCTCATAATCATATGGTGGTTTTGGGACGTTAAACCCCACAAATCAATCAAATCAATCAAACCATACTTTACACAGCGATGTGCCTTCCCCCTCTTTTGATTCACTCATCCACACCATCACTTCTTTTTCCTTTCCTTGCTATATTGTGCTCCCAATGACTATGCTATGCCTCCCCATCATCACACCCATTACCCGCCCCCTTTCTATACCGTGATGTACATGGCTATTCAATGCTGTACCCTCCCCCTCTTTTGTTTCTTCTCACCTTCACTTTCCTTTCACACCCCTTGATATACTATACTACACATGGCTATTCTATGCTTTAGTCGTGGTTTACCATTGTATAACAAGGGGGTGGGAAAGGGAAGTTTTGCTAAGGAGGAACGAAATGAGGAGAGAGAGGGTATGGCGAACTTAGGTTGATCGAATTAAACTTTGTATATATCGAACTGATTTCGAACACGGAAACTCTTTGATGTAAGTGAAGATCTACGGCCACATCAGAATGAAATAGCCGGAACACATGACATATTGAACACTAGGTAACACAAAGTGGCCAAGTAATTGGCTTTTCATCACCACAATTTTCTCAAAGAAGAGGATACACGCAAACATTCGGAAGAGCCAGTGGGGCGATTAGGAGGGCACCGTGCTGTGTAAGCAGGAACTACTGCTTGGTATCGCGCGCTTTCTGTCATGATTGCTCGTCGTCTTGCCTCATGGTTCATTATGCCGGGTTTTCATTCCCTTCTTTGCTCTTTTCGTTAACTCGATGGATGCCTTAAGATGGAAGAGTATGCTGTTATTTACAAAGCTGGCGATAACTAATACACTCTGAAGTGGGAAAAAGAAGCCTTACACTTCTGCTGCGTACAGCATCCCAAGAAGCCCTCGGAGTATAACAAAGGCAGACACTAGAGTTGAGGCAGACTAGAGGCTTCCGGCACACAAGTACGCACAGCTGCTTATGAATATGTTTTGGCGCTATTTACGTCTATACTATCTCGCGTATAACTTGCCCCTGGGATTGACCCAACATCCGCAACTACAGTACGTGGAAGAACGCATAACAGAAAAGATCCACCTATTGCCGTGAGGTCCTCTTTTTTGCAGTATCACGAAGCAGTGCCATGAAGCCAACTTGCACACTGAATTTTGCGTTGAAAATATTGCAAGTTCTTGTTAAGCTTTATGTCAAATTATTTGTATATAGAGAACTTAATTATTGCTCTTTAGAAAGTTCTATATGTCTGAGATCTACTGTATACTACACAACTATGCGGTACATGGTTTTGCCTTCATGAAGCCATAATACACCTCTATGCTATTATTTACACTCTCCCCTCCTGTTTTCCCTCCTCCGCACTCTTTCTTCAATTTGGGTGCTATACTATAGAAATGTGTGACACCTACAGGGCGTGTCGTAGGCATGCCCATGGGAAGAAGGGCAGGCCCCTTTCACCCTGTTAGTTACCTTCTCGTGTAAAACCCTATTTACACGAGGGGGAATCGTTGTCAACAGGCTGTGCATCTACAGGCTGGGAGCTTCATTCTGCATGCTTCGTTCTCCTGAAACACGCTGCCGGCAGTATACCTCACCAGATATTCCCACAAAGTTGGCGATGTCCTCTTGCGTAATCGACCGCCCTGACTTGGTACGGCTGCCACTACAGGGAATTTATGGCGATCGATATTGTGGCATTTAAAGATTTCTTCGTGGACTGATACGGTAGACAGGACACCGCCTGCATTGGTCAACTGAAACCCGTGTTTCCATTCCCTTATACACTGACAAAGAAGGACCGCCAGAAAGGACTTTCTGTCTAGTAAATACTCCTCTTTATACTGTGGCTGGTCCGTCTCGCTTCCTTCGTGAGCCACAGGTGGAAGCGTGCCAGTATGATATCTCGATAGAAGTGATCAAGCACTTCCATCATCTCTAGTAACCACCTCGTGTGTTCCAGGTACATTGCCATGTGATATGAATAGCTGAATTCATTGTGCGACTTGTACCAAAACTGTGACTACAGATGTACAATACGAGGAAAGGTGGGTAGCATAGTGATGGCAGGTGTAAGTTTCAAATGTGTTTCTTGATGTTGATGGTAATGCGATTAGATGTTGCAGTAGTCAATAATACTAG